AAAGGTCTAGTTTTTCAGTTTATTCAAAAACATTTGTCAAAAAAAAGGTTAGTAAAAAAAATTTTTACACTGTACCGGGTGTGTCAGATTAAAAGTTTTAAAAAAAAAAAAAAAAAAAAAAAAAAAAAATGACATTGAAGGGTGAAATATTAGGCTACATGCGAAATAAAATGTAAATTATAAAACAGTAAAAAACCAATCGATGGAACAAGTTAAAACATATAAAAACCAATCAATGGAACAAATTAAAACATATAAAAACCAATCGATTAGAACAAGTTAAAACATATAAAAAGATAAAACATATAAAAATTAAAAAGAGAAAAATGGTAAATTAGTTCAATTCGAGGTCCACCCTGGCTTTTCAAGGGAAATTTCTGGTTGAACGTTGAACCAAGCTAACTCCATTAGTGTTTCGTCGAAACAGACAATTTGCGTTACAAAATTTTTTAATTAATTAACAAATATATATATATATATATCATAGGAAAATTAAAACTGCATGAATTGCCTAATATTTTTAGTTCAGTTATATTCTCAGACATTCTTCTGCATAAAAAAAGAAAACATTTTTGTACAAAACATCTTGTATATGTGCACACAGATTAATCAGATGTGAGAAACATCATATAATTTAATGTTTATTCTTAAATTTTTTTATTATAATTTCCAAATTTCAAGTATATTTAATTATAGACATAAAATTAATAAATAAAAATGTTGAGTATTTTTGATAAGAATTAGAAAAGTCGCACAAGTTTGAAAAAGGTAAAACAATCGACTTTTGACTCATTCAAGGGTTGTGTGACCCTTAAACAACTTACATTGAAAACAATATTAAATAAGCAACATTTTTGGGAGTAAATTTTGAAATGTTAAAAATGCTTCATTATTTCATAAACCACGATTTCATTTTTTAATTTTATAAATGCTGCATGTCGTGTTATTAGATTTAACCCGGCGGAAGTCGCACCAAGAAAAGTTACTAGAGTGGGCGCGTGGGGTATCACATACCCCAATATTTAAGATGCAATAAAAATAGTATTATTTAGTTTTAAAACTGCTTTTTTTTTTTTTTTTTTTTTTTTTGTTGTTGTTGTTGTTGTTGTTGTTCTCGTGTATTGTAAATAGGTGAATAATAATTGGGTTTCAAAAAATTAATTTCCGAAATAATCTTAGAGTTAAAATTAAGATAAATGAAAATAATAAACATCATGCCTCTAAGTTTCTAAGTTTCATTGCATCTCTAATACACCATGCTTATTTTATTTCTTCACACTTTGAATGAAATACATTCATGTGTTCTTGGCACAGAATGTTTTCAACATTGCATTCACGTTCTTCTGTCCTTGGCGTGAGGGAAAAAAAATTTTAACACATCTTTCATACTTAGTTGTTTCGAATTTCATGTATCCGTTTTAATTCTTCCTCGAAACTTCTGCTTTTGTTTTGCATGCAGTACGTCAATTTTTTGGAAAAGTATTAATCTCTGATCTTTGTTCAATACTTTTTTTCATTAATTGTAATGCTAAGTCCTTCAAAAACAGACTTCTGTTTCTGGTTGGTGGATTAGCAGTTGAAGTAATATAATTCAAGCATTTATTACAGCAACATTCAGTGCAGGAAAGAAATTACCATTGGCCACCTTCTTGTTATTCTGGCAATTGAATAATTGGCTGACATTTCATCCCCCATATCCACTGCTCCTTTAGTCATATTATTAAAACATATAATTCCTGACGTTTTATTTTCTCCAATAGTATCATCTATAGTATTATCGTTATATAATTTTGAAAGCATAAGAACAGTTTTTCCTTTTTTAGAAAATCAGGAATTAATGTTTTATCTTTTTCGAAACAGAAACAGTGTAGAAAATATTCTTAGTTTCATCTTCAGTTTCCGAAATGCAATCTTCATCGCTTTCAAATATTTCTGTTCGTAGAATCTCCAGTTCGTAGGGACTCATTGTTTTTACCATAATGCTGTTAGAAATGTTTAAGAATTTAATGTCAAGTACTTTAAAATCACTTGCGAGTAGAAATATTTACTGTTACCTTCTAGAAATAAATTTCTGGACTAAATATTCAGTCAGAAAAACACTTACACGGACAGGCGCGTGGGGTGTGTCATACCCCAATTCCAACAAAATACCTATAAATCTTTTTCTGAAACACACAGGCAAAGAAAAAGCGGTTCTGAAAGTCAACCACAACTAGAAACTCAGCTACTGAAAGCAGCACAGAATTTCAGTTTCACAAGTTAGGAATATTCCACTTTTATGTAGGGTTGGGGTATGATACACCCCACGCGCTTTCCCGCGGGTTAAACCGATGATCCAATACCCTGAAACATCTCAAATCTAGATTTGCTGAAGTTCTGATGAGTCCAGATCTCGAACCTTGTACTGTATCTCATTGCTTTTGCCATACTTTGTAATTGTTAATTTATGTTATTTGTTGCCATATTTGCCAGCGTATAAGACGCACTTTTTTTCCCTTTGAAAATAGGTTTGAAAAACGGGGTACTTCTTATATGCCGATGCTACGTCTTATATGTTGTTTGTGAATGGGTCAAAGTTTCATGAGATGCTGTGAAAACAGAGACAGTGGTTAAATCATATCAAAAGTGTGGCATTTGTAATGCACTGGATGACACAGAGGACAATTTGTTGTATGAGGACTCGGAAGATGATTTAGAAAAGTGACTTCATTTAGTTCTGGAAATGAGTGTCTGTGTTTTGACGAAGGAAATTAAAAGGTGTTCTTTCCCAGATAGATTGGCTATTTGCAGAAAGTATTACTTTGTAATTGTATTACTTTATATTTAAAATACTGTAAATTCATTATAATGATCAGTAATCAAGTTTTATCTTTAAAAATGTGCATTAAAAAGGGTGTGCGTCTTATGTACTGGCAAATATGGTAATTTGAAATGATGGCATTATTCAAATAAATTAAATTTGAAATTATGGCATTCATATTCTCCATAAAACTAAAATATTGTGAAAGTATTTTTTAAATGAGTATGAAAGCTGTGTTTTTGAGATGGTCTTTGTTGAAATAAATTTCAAAGTAATAGGAATTGAATCTTGTTTATTTTGTATGCATTTCAGTATTTTATGTTTTATCAAATTTGTTATATGTGAGGTGAATAACCACAAATCTCTGTTTTATGGTAATGCCACGTTAGGTTTATTAATAGATTTTATTGTCATAAGCTTAATTTGATGGATGCAGTCTTAGTATCTATTCAAGAAAGAAAATTAAATCATTCTCACAAGTGTATCTGAATTATTCGCTTTTCGTATGATCGAATTATTATACTTTAGAGAACAATTTTATATGAATATCCAGCTCATGCTATTATGCAGCTGTAGCTGAAAGTGTTGTTGTGTTCAACAGTGCTACGTTTTGGTTATACGTTCCTTGTTCTTTTCAATTATCTCGCTTATTTGATTCTAAAATAAATCTTAGCTCATTAGAGAAAGTACATCATATGCTTATGATGTCAGGAAAAGCATTTCTCTGGCCATGTCATCAGATACAAATCTGAGATATGTGGACATAAAGTTTTTTATATTTAGCTTCCAGTCTTTTTAAACTGTGTTCCTTTTTTATTATTATATTTTGCCTAATAATGACTTCTGATTACATGAAAGAGAATGTTTGAACTTAACAATTCTTTGATTATATTGTAAAATGCCTTACATGGGGAAAACATTTATGCATTTCGGACTTGTCTTTCTTCCTGTGATTTCTCAGCTCTTGAAGTGTTAGTATCCTCTTGGCTCATGATAAAGAAAACGTAAAGTTACAAAGTTATAGTATTAAAGATCTTTTTGAACTAGAATACACAGTTGATTATATGCACAAATGTTACTGAAAATATTGTTAAAAATATATGACAGACCACTTTCACCCCCACCCCCTCCAAAAAAAAGAATGTTGATTTTGGACTTGGGTAAATTTTTATAATGTAAAAAATATCTCAAAAATTAGTATTTGGATGCTTAGTTCCCTATAGAAATAATGTAATTCCCAGAAATTTGCCTTTTTGGTTTTAATTAATTTGGCTATATCAAATTTATTTTCACATTAAGAGTTGTTCTCTTATGCAGACATACAAAATTTTAATTTCATAAATTTTTATTGAAAAATATAAAACTAAAATTGTCAAGGTTAAGGTCATCATTTTTAATTTGTTTTTTAAACTGCAGCCGTAGGTATATAATCAAGCTACTACGAAATATGATATAAATTTAATCATGCAGTATTTTTCAAACATATGTCATGTGATATAAAGGTAATTAACATGTTGAGCCCAGTGCCTGGGGACTGGCAGTGAACTTTCCATGTGGCCAGCATCAGCCCCCCGGGACCGGCACTGGAAGTTTCATTTGGCTGACGTCAGCCGGCAGGGCCGACAGTATTAAAGTTAAAAAATAAATATAGTCTCAATGAAATGTGATCAAATGTAGTTTTGATGAAATTTATTGAAACATTCTAAAGAAAAATACAGCTTATCTTTACACATATTACAATACATAACAACTTTTTTTTTTTTTTTAACATTTTGTTATCAACCTGTATTAAGCCGATTTTGTTACTAAGATAACCGGCTGAACGAAAAGGACAGCAGATTCAGCGATGGGCTCAACATGTTAAACCTAGTTAATGAAAACATAAAGGTTTAAATTGAATGAGATATGTGTGTAAAAACATAGATACTCATTTAGAAGGTATAATATAATATAGCTAATTTTGAAAGGAAAGTCCATTTTTCATAAAAGGGAATGTTTGCACTAAGATGCTTAATAAGTAGAGGCTGTAATATGTGAGATAAAAAATAAAGAAATTGTTCAGTTAATTAAGGTTCTTGGTAATTGTAGTGAAGCCTTGAATTAAAGCTATGCATAAAATTTATATCATAGAATTTGTTTCTGTTTTATGTTTCTGCTTTGCAAATGCATGTGTGATGGCATTTAATTTTGTTATTTTTAGGGCACAATTACTCTGTCTTCCGGAATGGTCAGAGGTGCAGTATTATTGAAGACAGAAAATGGCCAATATCAAGTTGTTAACATTGCTGGATCATCGAGTAGCCCAATTCCTGGTGCAGCTACGTATCGTCTACAGTCGCTTCCAGTAATAAAGAATTTTCTTGATTTTGTAAACACGTCTAAGTTAATTTACTTTTATCAATGGTATAAGATGAAATGTCAAGGAACTGATGAACTATGTAGTGACTTATGGCTGAGTTCAAACAACTAAGATGTAGACTCAAGAAAGGTTAAAATACCCTTTTATTCACTCAAATAAGAATAAAAGTCAGCCCCTTTTTGGGCTTACAGGAAAGCCACTACTTGGGCTTTAGCTCAGAATAAGAAAATAGAAACTAAACTATCATTAACTAAATGAGACTTAGCCGAAGCTAGACACAGTTAACTAGCGTAGTTGGCATTAGGCAGATATAATATGAGCATAACAGCTTCAAGAGTGACTTAGCCAGCAGGTAAACACATGCTACTAAGGACTCCTAGCACTCTAACAAAGTTAATTGAACCTTCCTTAAAAACTCATTCTAGTAGGGAGTTGTAACTGGAAACACGAATTGATGAGAAAGGATTTCAAAATTAAAATAACTGTTATAAAATTAAAATATACCGTACAATAGTATTGTGCAAGATGGGAATAGATAAAAAAATACACTAAGTAAGTAAAATGATAATGAACGAACTGATTTCGTTAAAACATAAATGCAATAATATAAGTACATCTATTTCTGTGTACTACAATAGCATCACAAGTATCCAAGCATCAATTATCCTATTTATTGGTGGCGCACAAACGGCCAGGTGGTATAATTATTGAACACTGGTAGCTTGGACTAAGTAATTGTTCTCTGTGTAGAAGAACCATTTAATTTTTTTTTTTTTTTTAAATTCTGTGTGTTGCTACCTACCTAGAGTGCCTAGCTTACTAAACAACTGCGCTGCTATAATGTGAGACGATTTTCTTTTTTTACATTCTTGGAATGTTCAAGTAACATGCTGCTTGAATCAACAGTGACAGCACACCTTTGAATGTGCGGGGAGCTGCTGTCTTACGATGACAATGGACTGACTGCATCGGTATTTTCATGGTTTTTACTATGTGTAGTGTGAATATGAGCCAGTTTTCCTTTAAAAAAAATTCCCAAAGAAACATTTCTCTCTTCCGGTAGGTAGCTCTTGAGTGCTTTGCTGCAATCTAAATATTCTCTTCCCACCCTCCCGAAAGAAATCCAAACAGTTGATTCAAATTCATTCATATTAAAAAAAAATGGTTGAACAGATATTGAAGAAGATTCTGGGACATGTCCAAAAATAAAAAGAAATTTAAAAGGGAAAAAGTTAGCAGATTAAAAAGTATATATGAATAAAGTTTACCAGTGTTATCATATTCTAAATTTTGAAGAAGTCAGTTGTAGTTATCACTTTTAAAGCTTTTTTATACAACCAGAATGTATTTTATTAAGAATTAATGTCTTATACATTGCCAGCAATATAATATTTTCTAAATCATAGGTTGAAAAACCCATGACGAAATTATTCGAGAAAGAGACTGTGCAGTAAATATGGTTTGTTGAGAAAAATTATTTGAAATCTTCCAGTTTTTCTCTTCCTAGTAATTGATAATATACATAGATCTTATTAACTATTACCCTACCTTGTTTCTGTCTTTTTATCCATGACAGTAAATTATCTGAACCTGCTATGGTTCCACTAAGTGTGGATAATCAAAGTTGTACTATGAAAAATATAGTATTAGTAAAATTATTGTATCAATCTGATTTTTTTACCTTACCCCCACTATTTTTTAAATTATGATTTGAATTTTTTTTTAGCCTTGAGAAAATCTTTGTTTTAAAAAAGGATTAATTGTAAAGTCGCTGGAATTGATCTAATTATCATGTAGAGTAATCAACTGAAATAGTGCTTTTTTTTATATTAAAATACAAGCTAAGATTTAAATAATATTAATAATTATAATTTAAATAATATTAATTAATATATTAAATAATAATTATTAATGGTTAAACTATACATTATTGCAACCATTAAGCCCCCCGAGCAGAGGTGAAAAAAGAAAGCCTGTCCAAGAAAGTTGTTTTTGTAGATGTGTTCTCTTTCTCCTCCCCCCCTCAGGTTAGGTTAGCTAGCTGCAAGTAAATTAAAATTAAGCATTTAAAAAATAACTATTTTTCCCCCTCTGTAAAGATTTCACAATGAATTTTATGAACATTGATTAAAAAGCAGTATATTTTATGTAAGGTATGATAACTCCAAGTAGGATAATTTATATAATAAATGCAGTTGTAAGAATGATTTGAAAATTTTCCAGCTTTGTATCAGAGAATGTATCCAACAGAAACATACTATTTTAATTTTGGATACCAAGCAATAAAAATTGCTGAAATGGAAGCATATTTATAATTAACACCTTAGCATTAAAAAAAGGAAGCAGAGTTAGCAAGTTAAAAATACATAGAGCATGAATATTTATGTGTACTGAAAGAACTCGGTACTACTATGTTATTAATTGATTTAAAAATCCATAGTTAATCATAGTATGTTTTTATAAAGCTTTAAATTGTTGCAAATTGACTGAGTTAAAACATCTAAGACAAGTTAAACATCAAGTTAATAAGCAGCTACTAAATGCATAAATAGAGTAAGTTTCATATCCATATCTGTTTAGTTCAATCAGTGAATAATCTAAATCAGAAATTGGCATGTATGCCCGATAAGTAGACTATACAATGCTTGTGGCTTGTCTAGCATACATCTTTGTTTGTCTATAGCAATTAGGCAAATGGCTGTCTCTTTTTTTATTTTATTTTATTTATTTTGTATCCTGCTGTAAATAATATAAAGGGTCGCAAAAAAAAAATTTTGGAAAACACAGAATTTTTATATTAAAAAAAAATTATCGTTTTATCCACAAAAAATTTTCTAGAATAAAAGAAATGCTTTTAAATTCAGGATCTGCTCTTTAAATATTAAAAAATTGCCAATTAAACATATATTTTACTATTTCTCTCATCTGATAACATTCATTTGATATATTTATTTTATTTGAGGTCTGGTTTTAATATCCTGTAAAATCATTGCCTACTTTTGATGACTATCCCACAAATTTGTAAATAATACTTATATTTTGCTATATTTAAGGTATTCAAAATCTGCACCTTCTGTAAAATTCAGATGTTTTTATTAGTATTATCTTTTTATAGCCTGGTGCAACAGGTGTTAGAGCTGTCACTCCACAGCAAATTGTTACAGTTCCCGTAAGTGCAAGTGGTTTAAAAGCCAGTCAGGTAATTTTTTTTTCAATTTATTTAATTGCTAATAATTTAAATTTTGAAATTTTACTTTTTTTGTCTTGCAGTAGATTATGTGAGCAAAATGAATAATAAGTTTTATCCAGTTCTTCAGGTGCAGATTTTCTGGGGGGAGATTGTCTTCTTTTGGTGCTGGAATTATCTGAAAAATTAGATAATTTCTGAATTACACTTGCTGTATTTCATGAAAATATATCATCAACATCACACCAAAACTATTATTTTGAAAAGATTCAGCATTTCATTACAAATTAAATATTCTCTAAATAATAGTTCTCTTATATATATTCTCCTCTTGTTTTGATGTAACATAAGACTGTGAGGTGGGGGAAAACGATAAAACAACAAAAAATGCAAACTTGTGGTAATGATGTTTCAAGTAGTGATTATTTATTATACTTTATAATTCATCCATTTTGTTTAAAAAAAAAAATTCTTTAGTAAAGGAAGGTGATATATTCCATATCAGTTTTTAATCCTTAGGCAAATGCATTGAAATAAAAAAAAATAAAAAAAAAAATTCCTAATCAGGAAGAATTCTGAGTAAACAGATTAACACATTTTCTCATTTTTCAGGTTATTGTATATTTTGTGGTCTTTTACCACGTGATATAACTGAAAAGTATGTCCAGGATCATTTTGTCTACATTTTTAAGGGGTGAATTAAAAGTATGGAGAATTTTTACTCTGTGCTTAGTATTTTTCTGTATGAAGTATAATGATTCTAAGCTCCAGAATCAAGACAAGGCTAAGGCAAGTGAAGCATTTGCCTCAGCCTTGTGAACGGCTAGGTTTGCCAGGTTAGCAAAAAAAAATTTTAATTTATAATAAAATGGAAATATAATTTTTCTCTACTTTGAAACATATTAATAAGCATCTTTTAGAAGTATTTTAGATAATAAGGTTATTGTAGTTTTATTTATTAAATTATATACAAAATTTTTAAAGGCATAATATTTTTATATTCCTGAATAAGCATTTTGTTCGCAATGCTACATGAATGACAATCTGTCTTCCATTTATTTTCTGTTGTAATCATCTGCTCTGTCAACTTAGCTCTTCTTAGTTTGCATCTGGCCAGCTTAGTATCAAAATAATAAACAGTAAATTAACTCATAGGTACAAAATTCAGAAGAACAGAGCATTTAATTCAAATGAAATCATAAACTGATGATAAAATAATGATTTCTGTGTTAATGTACCGCAAAGTTTAAATTCCAACATGATAAAGAGTTATTGAGCAATATTTGAAATCAGTGGTGAACATGCTATTCACAAATTTCCTGGTCTAGGAATTCAAGGAATTAAATGAAGGTATTGAACCATGAAGTAACCCAGATAAATAATGTGTATTTGAATTAATCACATCAGCTGATTCTGAACAATTCTGCAATTTGTTTTTTATAACGTTGAGGTGAACAGGAATTTTTAACATGAAAGTTTATTGTTAGAACTGACATTTGTGGATTTATGTTTATCTATGATCCATATAATCGGAGTTTAGTGTAACAACCTGCATAAATGGAATGAGTTAGGGAGTGTCTGTTTTGCTTAGCCTTACTCTAGCTCTTTCCCAAAAGGCATGGTGAAATGCAAATTAGTCCAATTTATGCAGTGCAGTTACTAAAAACAAAATTTCTGAATGCTATTCTCTGAATGAGGAGCTGTCGAGTGTCCTCTTTGATAGACTAAATGCATGAACGCCATTTGAAAGTGGCATTGAGAGGTTAAATAATAGTGTTTGGAAAGGAGATGCATTATATAACTAAGTTTTTACTCCATATTTTGTATAAAATCTGCTGCTTAATGGATGACTCGAAGTTTTGTCCAAAAGTTTCCTCGTTTTGCTCGCTTGAGAATAATATTTATGGATCTGTATTTTGAGAAATGGGCACAGAATTTCTCTATGATACTAAATAGAGGTTTGGTTCTTTTTCCAGCTTCGCAACAGGCATTACTCCATGGGAAATTTTTTTCTGTGTTTGGAGGGAATATTGGGTAATAATAAACAGACCAAGTTTTTGTGCTATTGAGATGTACCTAAAATTTATCTTAATTGCCTACCGTTGTTCATTTTCAAACACTGACACTTCTCTTGGCAATATTTCTAGACTAGATCATGATAATACAAGACTTGTGTATTTTCCGAAGGAATAAGTTTGTATACAAAATGTGATTAATTGTAGGCTGGGATATAACTATATACTTAAAATTGTTTCATTGGGTTGTTGAAATTTCTTCTAAAATCCAACAGATTGGAAAATAGTTTGCTGTAAAATTCTTGATTCTGACATTCAAAATATTTGTGATCAAAGATATGATAAAGGAACAAATATGGCTGGAGTCTAGAAGTCATTATTTGATAACGAAATGATCAGGCCGAATGCATACCTTGTTTGGCGTATTGTCTAAAATGTTATATGAAAAATACTGTTTCTATAAACTCAAGAAGGATTTCCTTCTTACTCTCTCTTTTTTTTCTTTTTTTCTTTCATTTTATTGAGGATCTGTATGTTTTTCATAATTCAGTAAGTAGACGTCTTGTAAAGCACTTATGTTCTTTTTTTAAAACCAGCATGAAATAAACACGAGGATTCGCAATGGATATCAAATGCAAATACTGTCAAGGAATTAAATCCAAAACTTATTGGTAACCGAAATGTATTGATTATTAAGAGTTATCTTATCAAATGATAAGTCATAGCAATGTATTGGAAGTATCTTCAAAAAAGTTATTCCCCCCCCCTCAGGTTATATGCATGAAATTAACCCATTAGTCGCTGGTGTTGCATTGACGCAACGATCAAAATAAATGCATATATAAATATAACTACCTAAGATATTTTATACCAGCAGGTAATTTTGCGTAGGGAATATTATGAAGATTTTTTCTGTTAAAAACTATTTGCCTTCAACAATCATCTTGTTTATAATAATTAATGTCATACTTTAAGCAAAATTTTCGACCGGGTATTTTTGCTGAAAATATTTAACGAAGGAATCGCCATCTTTATGAGTGATCTATTTTTAGTCAAGGTCACCATTTATCAGAACATTACATCAATCAGATGTTTATATTTGTCTTGGGAAAGAAGGGAAAACAGGTGTTGTGCTGATGCAACGTCAGCAGGAAACGGATAATCAATCTCCTTTTTTACTCATTCTTTTCGATGTTCTGTTTCGTGTTCTGGCTGCTTTAAAAATGCCTAGAACAAGGTATCTTACATTAGAAGCCCTTCAAAGATTTTTTGATGAAGAAACAGATGATGATAATGTTAATAATGACCAGAATGAAATTGATATTGTTGTTCTTCCCTCAAAAATTGCAGAAGCAAGTGATGAAGAAGAAGAAAGGGTATGACAATGTTTTGAATAATGATAATGATATTTTACCAAATGATACTGCTGGGGAAGTTGAAATTCACGTAAGAAGTATTCACGTAAGACAGCCTTCTAAAAGCAGTTGAAGTCATACTAAAAAGTTTAAAAAGCAGAAGACTGAAAACTTGAAGTGGACAAAAAAGAAACTATCAGTTATGTCTCAGGAAGAACATGAAGAAAGTAATAGAAGAGAAACTATAAAAGACAAAATACAAGGTAAAACTAGTGCACAGATTTTCGATTTTCTTTTTGGTTTAGGCATTTACTTTCTTCTCGTTGAACAGACAAATATATATGCTCAGCAAAAAAATTGCCCAGAATTTATTGCATCTGAAGCCTATATGAGAAGATTTATTGGAATATTGCTAACAGGATATCATTCCTTACCTCAAGAAAAAAATGTATTGGTCTTTTGATAAGGACATTTCTGTTCCTGTTATACAAGAATCGATATCACGTTTGCAGTACAGGAATATGAAGCAGAATTTGCATTTGACAATAATCTAATTGACAATACTTATAAATATATCACCACATTTTACTAATGTAAATATAAAGTCTCTTTTGGATTTCAGACGAGAAATTGCATTATTCCTTTTGCAAACTCCTATTAAAATAATATAATCTTTGAAAAAAGCCGATTATAACTTTTCATGAAAAAATTGTAGAATGTGCCAGAAATAGATCAGCAACAGGAAGACCTAGTAAATTCAGCATTCAAAAACCATTGCATGGAGATGGTAGACACTTTATCGTAAAGTCCGATGATAACAAAAGACTTCGTTGTAAAGAGTGCTAAAGCCAGACTGTTTATAGATGCAAAGTATGTAATGTAGCTTTATATCATGATTACAATGAAGCTTTTCATGCTTGAATCTTTCAATTGAAATAATCTGTATTTGTAAAAGAAATATAATGTATATTTTAATATTAAATTAATTAGTAGTAAAGTGATTTGTAGATTTATAAAACGTTATACAGCTAAAAATTAATCCTGCGCTCCACTCAAAGGAAACATCACACGAGTACAATCCTACACACTTAAACATCTGTAGTATTATTCCGCTGACGTTGCGCGAATGCAACACTTGCTTTTCCACAGGTAAGAGCTTTTTTTTTTTTAATTTATTTTCAATTTAAATTTATGTTATAAATGCTTAATTTAATATTTGTTTTTATTTTCATGAGAAAAGAATCATTCTTTGTAGTTTTGGCGGTTAATGGGTTAAGCATGCATGACAGAGGAGGGGGGTAGATCCTTAGAATAAAAAAATTTAACTAAATGTTAAGTTGCAGCTTGTGATTTTGCATTTCTTTGCAATACCAATGCAACTAAAAAATTACAGATTTTGAGATATGACCATTCCTGACATTGTAAAACTGTCCTCTTCGTAGAAGAGCAGTGGCACCTGTTTTAGTTCAGTACCGCACTAACAGATGAAGTAGTGTCTCAATTACATTCTTTGGCTTTTATGAGTTTCTCAGTCTTTTTTAAGGCACATTGTGACAGACATCATCAATTGCAAGAGTTTTTCCTCTCCCTCTCAGCTGTGTGTGTTTAAGACGTAATGAAAATTACCCTTTGTAAATAATATAATCTTTGAAAAAGCTGATTATAACTTTTCATGAAGAAATTTGTCAGATCAATTTGTCATGCTGCAAATAGCTATGCTTAAATTGCTCTCATTCAGCTAATTAAAAAAGGTTGGTAAAGTTGTATACATTTGTTATTAATTTGCATTTTAAAAATTATGATTTCTGATGCTTCTGAAAGGTTCTGGCAGCTTTAATTACTTTTATGAAGAACATTACAAAGTTCTTTACATTACAAATCTTAGTTCTCCAAAATTACAAATCTTAGTTCTCCAAAATTCTTCGAATGGTTTAATTGAGAGAAAAGTTCTATGTTAATAAGTCATACACAAATCAGCAGCTGAAAGGGAACACTCTAATGTGTACTAGCAGCCATAATCAGGTGACTGAGGTATGTACAAATGTGGAGTGTAACATTGTGAAAGATGATGGTGTAATGAAATATATCTGCAGCTGTATGCAGCCAGAATTGCTTGAAGTATATACGCAGAAAGGGTTAATTGTCATTATAAAAAAGTGAGTCATGAGTGGTCATTATAAAAAATGGATTTAATATTTTCTCATCAGTGGAAGATTTATTGCAATAGATTTTGTAATGGGACAACCGTTTTGAGGAGTGATCACTGTAGTAAAGGTAGCTTGACGTTTCTCGTGAGTGAAACAAATGCGAGTCTATAATTTAGTTATTTTTATTAATCATCAGCAGATATATGGAAATATATATCTTCTCTTATAAGAATTATTTCAAAGAAGCTAGTAAAAAATGTTAAAATAACAAACTTTAAACAAGTTAAAATATTTTAAATATCATTTTTGACTTAATAAGTAGCTAATTTTTTGTGGAAGTTGCACAGTATTGAAATAAAAGGCTGCTGTAAATTTTACACTTAGGAAATAAGTATTGTTTCTTTTATTTCTTTAGCCTGATATTTTTTTAATGTAAAATTGTTTTTTCCCTTAGGTATCAGTAACAGTCCCACAAACGATTGTTGGTACAATTCTGCAGCAGGGATCTTCACCTTTAAGTGGTGTCAATTCTCGTCTCTCTACTCCTAATTCTGCAAAAACTGGTGTCATAAAGGTATGCTCAATTCTTACATCTGTTTGCTCTAACTTTTGATGAAATTATTTCATTGTTGAAAATCTAAAGTGTAGAAAGAGTATTTTCTGTGTAATAAATCTATAATGAGAATAAGATTATAGGACATGAAAATTATAACCTTTTTTTTTCCCAATATCTATAGAAATCATCAATAATTTTTTAAATTTCCCAATTTTTACTTTTTGTCCACACAGTGGGTTTTAACATGCTGATTTGGTACCTTCATTTGGAAAGAACTTGTCTGATATGAATCACGTAATAGATAAGTGAAGGAAACATTTTAATTTCTTTTAGGAATTCTTGGTACCAGATTTGGCGTGTAATTGTTGATATAGATTTATTTTATTTTGTGTTGACTGAGTATTATCTGAAACAGAGGTCGGCAGTGCAGTGTCCTCGAAGCAATTTTAAAGTGGCTACCATTCAAATATCTTAATTTTAGTAAAAATTCTTATTTTATCTTTGCTTTGTGCAATTAAACTTGATAAAAACTGAGTCTTAATAACATCTAATACTACATAACTAGATGAATGAATTTTCAACTAATAGAAACATTTGGTTCAACACAGAGTGAATCATTTTCTGCCACCATTATCCTCATATGTCTTCAACCATAGCATGTTGCACTCTACGTCCATAACATCTGTTGTCATAAACTTGTCATTTCATGAATTTATATTTCAAGTTGTAACCTGGGTACTCATTCTTCTCTTCGGAATGAATGATAATGAAAAACTAACAATATAGCTTTTGTAACAGGTGGTACTAAAATAATTTCATTTTAGCTGCTTCTTGTGTATTCATAACTCATTTCAGTTGAACAACAATATGCAGTTTTTGTGTGTGTGTGTGTGTGTGTGTGTGTGTGTGCTTACTTAGCTAGCAACATGTTTTCACAAATGTTTTTGCTGTGTAAACAGTAGAGGAATTACTGTGTCACCAGAAAAGAGTTGCTTACCATAGTTAAAGCTATTCAACATTTTTATTATTGTCTTTATGGCAGAAAATTTCATGATTTCAAATGCAAGAGCTGTGCACAAATCATGCATCATTGACCTTTCTTTTAAATTTCAAGAATCCTGAAGGCTAAATAGGTAGATGGCTGCAGAGATTCCAGAATATGATTTCAGGATATGTCATCGGAAGGGATTATCACATGGAAACACCGACGCACTATCATGAAGACTCTGTCCAGAAAGCTGCTGATGTTGTTTCAAGGCCAAAGTGAGTTACAAGCTTTTTATTCTAGTTGTACGTCAAGCTACAACCTCAGCATCAGCTGATGGAGACCCATGGATTGATGAAGAATTCAGAAAAAGCCAAGTGGAAGGTGGCAACATTAAGCCTTTAATCGATTTAATGGAATCTTCAAATAAGAAACCTACACAGGACATTTTGATATGTAGTCCTACAACAAAACAATATTGGTTTTTCTAGGACTGATATTCAAATCCCAAAATCTGGATGTCCTTAGAATTACATAGCAGTCCAACAGAAGGCCACTTCAGAATAATGAAGACCTTGCATAGAATCCAAAAGTACTTCTTGTGGAGTAATGCAAGGGTTGATATACAGAAGTGGTGCCAATCTTGCGATGCATGTGTGGGCGAAATGGACCGAAGAAACGCAGCCAGGAGAAGCTGTAGCAGTATAGTGTAGGAGTGCCTTCTAAATGCATTGCATTCGACATCCTGAGGCTTCTGCCGTGATATGCTGACAGTAACATTCACGTCATTGCTGTCTTGATGTGGCCTGAAGCGTATCCTATCTGTGGTCAAGAGCTGTCACGGAGCAGAGGTAATGAATGATACAGCATTGGATTTCTAGGTTTGGAGTTCCTCTTCAGTTACATTCAAATCAAGGAAGGAATTTTATCTCAGCTGTAATTAAAGAATTCTGCAAGCTACTCAGCATCAGCGAAACCAAAATGACACCTTTACATCCCCAATCAGACAACATGGTAGAAAGGTTTATGCCTTTAAAATGTTCCCTTGGAATGGATGGGAGTTGAAAGGAATTGTCCTACAGGACAGAGATTTTGCATATGTTAAGCCTAACTTTAGAAGGAAAAAAACAATCTTTTTCCTTCACTTTGCATGAAAATATATTTTTAAAAAAATACTTTGAGAAATAATTTTCAGAGCTGCTGTTCAAATTATTGCAAAGTTTTAATTGATAAAAAAAGGGCAAGATTATTTACAAGAAAGAGTAACAAAATCTTTCATGTGAACTGGAAGACAGACACTCAGTGAGCTCAGTCTTTAACAAAATGTTATATGAGAATCTTTAGAAATATCATTCTGTAATTCTGCAGAAAATGAGTCATCACTCTTACTAATGTCACTAATTTGCTCATTTTTCATGTGAGTATATCCTTCATCTGATAAATAATGCTTGTGCTCGCCTCAATAAACTGAAGTTGAGGTTTTCCAAAATAAAAAGGGAAATACATGAAATAAAAGCAATGCAAAACGTAATAGAATCCCATAGAGTAGCCCTAAAAGACCCTGAATAGTAGCAGAAAAATAATTTTAAAAAAAGGATTCAAAGGGATACCAGAAATGCGAATGTTTATATCATCTCGCAAGTTAAAAAGCTGAGTTGTGTTTGTTTACGTTATGCTTTCCTTCCTCCCCCGACACCAACATTATACAGAGCGGGATCAAATTGAAAGTCAGAATCCTTAAACTATATTCTGTTCAAAAGTAATAGACACAGGATGTGATCTAAGGTTAAAAGTTTTAAATGTTCCAGGATACTGGCACAAATATATGACAGCTATGGTGAATGAGCCAGCTGTTGCACCAGTGTGCTATCTGAGAAATGAGTGTGTTTCTAGCTGGCATGTATATGTGATAATCGGCATAAAAGGGTTAATCAAACCAACGCTTAATAACATCTAGCTGGTGGTTTCCAGAATCCAGCAGTACTTGAACGAGAAGTTACACCACTTCTTACTTCCCTGTCACAGTGTTGCCCCCAAGACTGCGGGCCACTCCCTGTCACGGATACTCTTCAGTCATGCACTTCATCTGCTTTGTGATTTCTTATTATTCGCCCTCCAGATGAACCTTCATCACCTGGGGAGTACATTCAAGATCTGTATTCATGATTTGAAGTGATGCTTAATTTTGTCTGAGAGCAAGTCAGTTTGGCAACGGAGAAGATAAAGACCCAATATAACACCAAAGCTACAGGACATCAATTCAACGAAGGTGACAAGGTGTGGTTTTGAAATCTGACTTGATTTGACTTGATTGAAAGGACTTTCTCCCAAACTACAGTCACCTTGGAATGGTTCTTACAGAGTCCTAAACTGGCTGAATGATATTGTAGTTTGGAAGTCATCAAATTCTAAGCCTAAAATCGTTCCAAGCCTGTCGTGATGGAATGACCCTTACTATGACCATAGTGTGTATAATGCAAACGGTATATTAAGACTATGGTCCTGTTTGCATACAAATCTGTAAACTGATACTTTTTTTTTTGTTGTTGTTGTTTGTGTGTGTGTGAGTGTTTGATGTAATATAAAATGCTTGATATGAACTGTGCCAAGAAATAAATTTACATGGGCAAGTCTATTTAACATTGAAGTAAATGGCTCATTCAATAAATTAGCAATATATCGCCAAGCTGGCAACAGTTTTTGGCAACTAATTTTTGTTGCCAAACTTAGCTACATTTTGGTCCAGTCCTTGTATAACTGTAATTGATCATTATATGCAGCTGAAACCATATCAGGCCCTTAGATGTAACTGTACATGCCTTCCAGTCATTTTGAGAAATGAAAGTTACTAGAGATTTTTCAGCAGCAGGTTGAAAACTGTGTGAGCACAGAGAAAGCATCAGAGCTGAATTCGAAGTATTGACTCCAAATTTGAGTATTGAGATATCTGGGAGAACTTTGCCTTTTGTATGTGCTGTACATTGTGTCGTGTTTAATGTTCTTAGTAAGTGTAACTACTGCTTGTGCTTTGTGATACTGAGAAGAGCTGTATGACTTTTTTTTTTTTTTTTGAATGTTACAGAACTGTAAATTATTTCATTTTTAAAATAAATTTTATCCATCTATGATCAGGTCTCTGTGCATTTAATCTGTTATGAACCTGTGCCCCCAGCAAACTATTAAATTAAAATTTAAAATAACAAATTTCATTTGAATTTTATTTTCTTAAAATTTTGTCTGATTAAAGTTATTTATAGCTTTTTTCTTCCCTTAAAAAATCAACATCTCTTCCAAAATTGCATTAACAGAAAATAACTAAATTCAGATAAATTGAAAGCTGGGAGATTTGCCTAAAAGTTGGGAGATGAGGAGAAATTAGTCGAGTTGGCATATCTGGCTTAGATGTTTTTTTAATATACTTTAGAACCTTCTCTGAAACAAGTATTTTATATTGCTCCATTAAGTAAAGCATTATTTTATATTGCTCAAGCTTCAATACACAATAATGGAGCAATATAAAATACTTGAAACAAGTATTTTATATTGCTCCATTATTGTAAAGCTTTGTAACTGGTTAAAGGATGAATGTGTTTGTCTTGATATTTATTTACTAAGCAGTCTGATTAGAAAATATATAAATATTTTTTAAACTATTTGAATCATTTGCTGTTTGTAATTTTGATACATGCAAATATTTTGTCAAACACAGTATTTAATTGTAATTTTTTAATAAATTATGGTATTAAATATGATTTAATTTGTAGGCAGGTGTTAATGGCAATTTAACTACTCCTCTGACTGTTCAAACCACAAGTGCCAATAGTCAGCCAAGTACACCCACGCAGGTAGTAATATTAGTTTTCTATGCATCATCCACCAGTTTTGTTGGACAAATGATCTCAAGTCTGTAATGAAACTACTTTTTGAAACTTAAATTATTTCTTATTATATTTAGATGTCTCCGAACACAGCAAAGAAAAAATGCAAAAATTTTTTATCAACACTCATCCGATTAGCTGATGAACAACCAGCAGCTGTAGCGAAAAGTGTACGAAATCTTATACAGGGCATTATTGTAAGTAATAACTTATTATAATTTAATGATTTTTAGGCAATAATACGTGTTGATCCTTTTCTCGATTCAATATGGTTTCATAACGATAATAGTTTGCACAGAAAAATATGTTACAAAATAAAAAATAATGTCCAATTGGGAAACCTGTATCTTATTCTGTTTTTTTGTCTAAAAAGATAGCTACTGATTCTATAAAACTAGATTTTGTGTTATTAAATTAAAAATAAGGGAAAGTTTTTTATATATATAGTACCAAGTCCAAGATCCGGACTCGTCGGGAATTCGGTGATTCCAGATTAGGGATTTTTCCGGATATTATATCATCAATTTAAATCTGGTAAGATGGCATGCAGAAATTATAGAATTAAAAATATGAAATCGTAATTTATGAAATAAAGAACGATTATGATCTAAAGGGTATCAAATTTTTATTAAAAAAAGCTTAATATTTATTTGTTTACATTATGAAACATTTCTTTCAATGTCAGTTGTTTAAGTTGCTTCCACGAAAAATTCAAAAAGTTCTTTTTTATGTCATATATAGTTGATTTTCCAATGCCATACTCCTCGCATAATTTTGAGACGGGTATGCCTGTATCCATTTTTTGCAGCAATTCCACTTTTTGTTTAATAGACATCGAAACATGGTTTCGCTTTGTTAATCCTTTGGCAGCTCCAGAATTGGAAACTCTTTTTGACATAATCGAAAGATCAAGCTTAGTTTTTATAAAATTGCCATAATAATAACAGTCTGCAAAAAAATAATAAGCTGGATCAAACTAGAAGATTAGGGAGCAGCGCAGTCCACTACATTAACTTGAAATGCTTAGAATCAGTAAAGATAATTTTAGTCTAGCTTAATAGCGTGCTTTATACATGTGTGTATTCTGTGTATCACAAGATTGGCGACAAAAGCCAAATTGTTTCATTAAATTTTGTCTTGCTCATATTGCTTACTGAATTAAGCCTGAATTGTATTAGTTATTTACTATACCTACGTTTATTTCTTGCACATGCTTTAAACTAATTCAAGTCCTGAATAAATAAACTCTGATATATACTTAATGCTTATCTAGGGTCGGCAATAAATACCGCCTGGTGCAGTTTCTACAGGTCCTAAATTCTGCTACAAAGCGCCTTTCTAAGTTCTAAATTTTCACCGCATCTAAACTTTGGGTCCCAGCGCTTTCCCTAAATCATAAAAAACTTCTCATTTTTAAATTTTGCCGCTCGGTTGTTCCCCAAATTCCAAAAATTTTGTCTTTCCTAAATTCTGCCGTCCGGTGCCGACATATTTTGCCGCCACTTCTGGATTTATAGTGAATTACATATCAGTTGTTCTTAATTAAAATAGCACTAAATGTAATCTTTTGGCCTATGAGTTTCATTAACAAAATGTATTTTTAGCATATGAAAAGAAATTTTTGTTGAAATTTTCCTCGTCAACATTTCTTAGAGCATTTAAAATTCTATAATCATCACCATGTGTAATGTCAGCATAAAAGGTTGCCATACTCTTGTTATTCAATTACTAATATAAAAAAAGAGTTTAGATATCACTGCATGAGTTATTATTGAAGCTGTCATGTATTGATAAACATGCAGTGATGAAAGCAAAATATAATAAATAATGTCTTGCCATGTCTGCGTCAAGGAAATAAAATAGGTGAATGTTTCGGTTTGAGATGTATGCCAAGCAGATACTCAGCTACGGAGCCAAATTATTAATCACGCAAATGTATGCTTACATAATTGTTTTTTCATAACGAGGTATTTTATTTAGTGCATAAGTTAAATTAAGAATTGGAATTTTTAAGTGAAAATCTCCACGTTTTATTATGGAAGGAAAAATCAAATGGGCATGCGTAAGCATATATATATATATATATATATATATATATATATATATATATAAAAGTTTGTGGCTTCGATGTTCGGATTTTAGATCATTCTGGATAATGGAATCCGAATTTCAGACTTTGTACTGTATTTATTTATTTATTTATTTATTTATTTAACCTGCAATCATATAGCAATAATAGAAACTAAATAAGGAGAGAGAGGTTTTAAGTTTTATAGTGCTGTGACAGGCCAGTGCTTTTTAAATCTATATGTTCTGCATATCCTAATATGATTTATAAGAACTGAGTACTGTTGCAGAACTCTTAATAATATAATATTAAACTTCATGTTAAACAGGATCTCTTTTTGTCATACTTTACTATTTTAACTGAAAAACACCTTTTTGAAATAATGTAATTAAGGTGTATATTTATTTTTATGGAATTACTATAGTTTCCTGTGTAAAATCCTGCAATGTAACTCTGTTATTTTTTTATTTTTTGAATTTTAAATCTATTATATCAAAGCTGCATCAGTTTCATAATGTTATTATATTATGTACAGTATCTCGTAGTATAATTAAAAAAATCATAAAATATATTTTTAAAATTCAAGTCAATTTTATTTCAAACCACGGTTTCTTATACTCTGAAGTAGAAGGTTCTTATTTCGTATAGTGTCAGAAAAACCATGCTTTTTATAAATTTTTGTGTGATTTTTTACGATTTTCAAAATAATAATAGTGATAATCATTGTTTTCTTGGTTGTGTACTAGTATTCACCAAGTTTTGAAAAATATTCTGCAAGCCTTAATTAGAGAAAGGATATGTATAAGATTATATATTTGTTAACATTTGAGTAGCCATGATGAATTAGATGCAGTATAACAACCATCTGAGGTTCCAGATGACTTAGGTCTTTTAAAGAGGTTATCTTTTTTCAGAAATGATCGTCAGTATTTATGTTCTGAAAAATAATGGTCACTTTCACATGTTGTTATCATGAGGGTTCTCTGCAATCCAAATCACTTATAACTTTTCTTATTTAACATATGCTTATTTTTCATGCTAGAAAATGCATTTAATAGCTATCTGCAAATTTTAATTGGCTGTAGTATGTTGTGAAAAAATGTACTTTTTTTTCCTAAGGTAGTTAAAAATGAAATAAGTTGTACAGTCTCGCTCTTTTATGTAGCATACAATAAGTCAAGACTCTTTAGTAGACATAAAGGACTTATTGCTGTGTCTAGTTAACACAACAGGAAATATTAGAAAGGTGTAAAAGTTCCTTTTATTCAGAATTCAAATAATTAAACTGAAGGCACTTATTTCCACTAACAAAACCAACCAGAATATACATCCTGACTCAAACGGTAGAATTTTTAAAGTTGTAAATTAGCTAAAGGAGATAATACAAGTTGGGTCAAACCTTCACCAATGTGACGAGCACTGTTATCAAGAATAAAGCAGTGCAGAAGGTAGACTGCTAACATTGAATTTCAACTAGTAATGTTGCCTACAACAGATGGAATATGCTTTTTCTAAGCAATCTAAAACTTCCCTTTAAATACTATCTGTTTCCACCTCGTTTACGTACACATGAACTAATAAAATTAGCATTCTGCCAGGAAAACAGAAAGAGTGAAGTTACAATAAAGATTCGTAACTTAAAATAATTAGTTTAAGATAAAATAAATACTTTTATAAAATGCCTTTAAAACAAATAGCCTTTTGCTTCACACAGGGTTATATATGATTATACGAATAGTTTCAGAACCTGTATTTGTAAAAACAACTTGCATTGAGAAAGTGCTGATTTCATCTGCAAGCGGAAATACCTACTTTGTATTGAAAAATATGAAAATAAGCTATTTTAAAAACTAAGAAGGAAAATAATTTTAATATTGAAGGTTAAAAACTGTTAAAAATAAATATAAAAAACTCAAATAAAATAGCTGAAAAAATTAGGTAAATAGTTTGTTAGTTTTTGATTGGCAGTTAAATTTTGTCATGCTATTCATCTAAGAACTTAAATTTTCAGTTTATTAAGTATCTGAATTTCGAAAGCTGTTCCATTTTTTAAAAAGTGTATTAAATAGATACTTAAAACTAATTGTTTTTGCTTAAAGCAGCATTAGTATAATATCCTGTTGTATTTATTTGCTTGTTAAGCTCATATTCTATAAATTATCTATTTAATTCTCTTGATATGGCTACTTGTATTAATTGTGCCCAGTGCGTTTTCAAAGTCTTCCTCTTTATTATTCTTTTGGGATTTTCTGCTGTTTATTGGTTCTATGTAAGATTCTTTTAGGTATTTCTACGAATTATTGGTTGTGGCTGCTTTTCTCTCTTAAAATATTTATGTACTGTTTCTGAAATATTAGCAGGTAAAAAGTTCATTCATATTTTTATAATTAAAGACTAGCAGTATATGGTATGAAAAAATTCTGAAAACAAGAGAGTTATTCTTTTAAAATTTGTGATAAGTAATGTTCTTTGTTTTGTTTTCTTTTCTTTTTTTTTTTTACCTGCTGATATTCTAGAGGTATGAAAAAGTTATTTTAAGGAAAAGTTGCCACAACATTTCTAATTCCGTTTCAGGAATAATACCAAACCAATAAGAAGCAGAAAATCAGAAGGAAAGTGAAGAAGAAGGACATCAGAGAATTTGTAAGGCACAGTATGAATAGCTATTAAAAAGTTCAAAACTCTTAACAACAAAATGATTAAATTTAAAATTAACATTCGGGCAAATAATATACAGAATAAAAGGCAGATTGTTTCTTTGTTGTTAAGGTACATTATTTTAAATAACTATAAAAAGTTCTTGTATTGAATTTTGCAATGAAAATGCGTTAATGTCATATTTCAAAATTATATTTTAACTCAATGCATTGATCTCTCCTTAATTTTATGAAAAAATATAATTTGAGTATAATGTAGTCATATAATTTTAAAAAATGCTTTATAATTTTTTAGCATTAATTTTTGCTATTTTTTTCGCAGGATGGGACAATGCAAGCAGAAGAGTTTACTGCAAAACTACAAAAAGAACTAAATTCTGCACCTCAACCATATTTAGTTCCTTTTTTAAAAGTGAGTTTGCTATGTAAGCTATACTTGAATATTTTTTTAATTTGTAATTAACAGTGATATTTTTTGTTAAAAAGAAAAATATGCTGAATAAAATTTATGCAACCGTGCTTATTAACAGTTATATTATGCTGAAAAGTTAGTATTTAGTATCACGCATTAAATTAAAATGTCCCTGTGGACCTAAATTCTTATCTGAATGTTTTTTCTTATTATTTATTATGAGTATCATTCTGAGTAAAGAATAAAAAATCATACATCAAACTATCTTATGTGTCAATTCACAGTAACTTCTGACTCTCTCTGAACATAACGTGACAGATAAAATTCTTCATATGCAGCATTTTGTAACTATTAACCATTCCTTAGGAATTGGATATAACAGATAGATCACTTCGCAGGTAAGCATTAAGCAGCATGTTCCAAACTGTAGTCTGTAAAAGGCGTAGGGTGTTAAACAATGCATCCAAAGTTTTATAATTAAAAGAAATAATTCTTCTTAACCTTTAAAATGGCATGAGCATTTTGTGGTTTTTCCATATACACATCATTTTTTAACAGGATGTGTATTTGAGCCAGTTTCCCCCATAAAGTTTATCATGAAACCTCCTATATATGTAATTAAAGAAAGGAGAAAAACTAAAAAAGACCTTTGTGATCAAGAAATTTTGTGCATTGAGATTAGGCAGATTGCCGTTGTGGGCTTTGCTGTAATCTGGGGGGGGGGAATCATCACGATGGTTATTCAAAGGATAATTCCTTTTACTGGAAATTTTTATTTCAATAAATCATTTTTAAAATGACAAAGTAAAAGGAACTTATTTATTTAATTTTAAATATGTTGCATTGTACTTAACAGTGGACTAAAAAGTATTGTTTATTGAATTTACAAAGTTTGGCCTATTATATTGTAAAATATTATGGGCTATAATTAATTAGGTTACATGAATTGTTGAAAATTTGTTATGTTAATTTTGTGATGAGTTTTCACGTAAAAATATTCATTTTCAACATCAAAACAATGTTATATTAAAATTGCATGAAATTAAAGATTATTCTACATCCTTGTATTTCAAAGTGTGGCTAAGTTTCATGTTTAATAATTTTTGTATATCTTAATTACTGAATTTACATGAGATTAAAAAAATATGCAATTTTCAGATTCCATTTCAGGAAGGCAAAAAATAATACTGTGAATATTATTCTGATAAATTCACAGTACTATTTTTTTGCCTTTTGAAAAAAAAATTGATATTTATAAAATTTTTAAAGAAAATGTGAATATGTATGTATTATTTAAAGTTTTTCGGGGGGGAGTGCAATATCTCTCTAATTCTTATTTTTTACTTTCAGAAAAACTTGCCATATTTAAGGCATTCTTTGATCACAAAAGAATTAACAATTGAAGGTGTTCGACCTCCACCACCTGGAGCTCTAATATTGCCACATCCTCATGCTTCAAATTTGCAACAAGTACAGGTAGAGTTAATTCATAAATCTCTTCAACCTCTCAGCTTCTGAACTGCAATAGGATTTATGAATAAATAATGTGTGAAATGGTTCTGTCATAAATTAACATTAAAGGTAAATCTGATTACTTTACTATCACTCATGACATTCTTGAAATCTAGTTTTTCCCCATCTAAATTTGTTTTATCTGAGGAGGAGAAGCAAAAAGATCTTTTTGAACTGTGTTGGCTTATTCAAAAGGCAGGTTTCTTTATATATATATGTAATTAAAGAAAGGAGAAAAACTAAAAAAGACCTTTGTGGTCAAGAAATTTTGTGCATTGAGCTACAAAAATTAGAAAACAAGGTAAAAAGAAAATTCTTAATGCTTCCGTTTAAAAGTCTTATATATATATCATTTATAGTCTATTGTTTTTTAATATTACTACAAAAAGTGTGAAAGTAGGATTATTAATTATGAGTAGTGATATTCATGAAAAGATATCAGCACAATGCCAAAACTAAAATTCTGCAAAACTCTTTCAAGAAATACATTTTTAAAGGTTTTAATACTTTGAGAGAATTGAATTATGGCTCATAATTTTGGTTGCCTAATTGGTACAGTGATCAGTAATAACCGCTTCCTTAAAATTATGGTTGCTTCTTTTAGAAGTCAAACAGCAAAAATCAGTATTATATTTTCAAATTTTCCACAACTAGTTTCACTGGTTTTTATTTTAACCATAATTATGGATTCTTGTGATTACACAGTGTTTACCCAGTGAAGACATCTAAATTCTTTCCTGAAGTGGAAAGTACCCTTTAAAAAGTGGTTGTAGAAAGAAGAGGTATGTGAGACTTGTAGATTCCATTTCTAGACTGAAGCTGTGATTATGCTGGCCAGAATTTTACTATCACCATTATAATTTTGTCCAACACCTAGTGCAGATGCACCAAAGACAAGAACTCTGGGAACAAATATACTCAAACTGGAAGTAATTTCCGTTTAGGAATAGTATATCATAGGACAAACCAAAAAAAAATAACATACTGTGAAAATTTACCTGGGTAGTGTCTTAGTGAAGAAAAAAAATATGAATGAGTTAGCTTCATTTCTTAACACTTATATAATTCCAACATAACACAGTATAATTATACACTTCAACAAAATTAAAGTTACCATCCTCTTGTGGCACTTTTCTGCTGTCCCTTAAAAATTGAGCCATATTGCTCACATCAGAAAGGGTAATCCCCCTTCCTTTTTCACTGACATCCAACACCATCTGTAAGCTTTGGCTCAAGATACAAAATTAGCTTCGCATACAAGGTAAGAATAAAAATATTGAAACACGTCATATCATTTATAATTTTCACCAAAAGTAAAATAATTAAAAGTCCTTTTCAGCATACAGTTTTAAATCTACCCACCTTTTGATTTTTGGAAGTAAAATCAAAAAAACAAATAGTACTATCTTCAGTGCGGGAATATACTTCTTGAGCATAGAGTTTTTGCACAGGCCAAGTTAATATGCTATTTCTAGTTTTCACTTTTACAACTCTTACACACTTATCTCGGCTTGTAGAGAGATGCTGGAAATGAGCAACTGGCCAGTTAACTCTTTTGAGTTTCTGACAATCTACTAATAAAATGTCTCCTACTTTTAATTCACAGTGTTTCTCTCCATGCTTTTGCACTGTCCAAGATACTCCTTGTGAAAACGGCCTCGAAACTGTTCTCGTAGCTTTTGGCAAAAACATTGACGAACCAAGAATTTCTCTCAGTCTAACATATCTAAATCTGCTGTACCGGAAACTTTGATGTCCTGTAAGAACATGGAAGGCATTAATGGTAGAAGGTCCTCAGAGTCATTTGAGATATAAGTGAGTGGTCGACAGTTTATTTTTTTTTTACTTTTCTCCATCACGAATAATGATAAGTATCTCCTCATAATGTATTGAAGCTTATCTTAAGACTTTCTTAAGTAAATTCTTGGTGGTGTGGACTAGACGCTTCCTCCATCCACCCCACCAAGCAGCAGTGGGCGGATAACTTCAAATGTGAAAGCATCTTGAATTCCAGTTATTCAGTGGTAATGGATGCAGTAGTTGTAGTTTTAGCGGAAAATCTTTTACATCAGACACTGCTTTACAATGGATGTAATTGTGCATCTTGCACCAATGATCCAGAATTCTTCTCTAATTAAAACACTTAGTGCTTGTATGCTGACGTAAGAATACTTTAAATGGTAATTTCTGATTAAATAGTCAACAGTGTACTTCCTAGAAGGTAATAAAATTGGGTAGTGAAATGCAAGAATCATCTCGTTTGGTGATTTTTGTTTTTACTCTTTTTAAGCCACTCTGATCTTGCATGATTAAAAGACCATTGATAGAGTCTCTAGTCTCTGGAAAACTCTCTACCTGAACAAGTGAAAGAAGTATGATTTTAAGGTGCCTTTATCTCTGAAGCACACAGGAAAAGCTCTTGATTTACCATCTTCTTTTGGCAATTTTTTATAAATCTCTTTATCCAACATAAAACTCTTGTGATTTTTGAAAATTTAAAGAACCTCTCTTTCTACTTATTATCATCATCTTTTGAAGTTACACTAAAATTTACATTTTAATTTATTCCTTTCCTGCAATCTGAAAAATCTGTTGTTTCATTTGGCTTAACCTCTAATTTTAGCCAGCTATCTGTAGGGTCTTAGCCAACAAGGCCAGCTCCACATATCTAATTCTGAAAACTGAAGAAGGCAGAACCACAGGAAGGTAAATCCATTTTGAGTTAGAATGGTCTGGTTCGTATGACCACTGATTTGCTTTTGCGAAAGTATAAATTTCCTTAATGTGATTGCCCTTAACGGTCCCTCATGCATCATTCCTTTAAATTCAAGACGTGATGGTTGTGGATTCGATCCAGACATATTTTGGGATGTCATCTAATGTAAGCACTTCTGTCACATTATTTGGAAGGGCACATGCTATAAGTTCTAGGCAGGAAGTGGTATAATTTCTTTAAGGGTGCAACTCTCAACCTAGCCACCACAAAACTAACTCCCTCTTCAGTTTCATACCTCAAAAAAAGTACACTGGCATAAGCTTGCTGGTTAGCATAAAAAAAATAAGTAACCAGGAACTTCTCGAAATGCTATACGTTGTGGAATTCTCAACTCATTCAGAATAAGTAATTTATTATACCATTTCAAAAATTTACTTTTAATACTCTCTGGTAAGGGATTATCCCAGTCTACTTATATTGCCCAAATTTCCTTAACAATAACTTTGCAGACAATAAAATAGGTGTCATGAAACCCAAAGGATCAAACATTGTTTGTGGGAGGGATAAAATCTCTCTTTTCGATAAATTTCTTATACAGTCTTATTTTCAATATAAAGTTTATTTTTTTCTCCCCACATAATCCTTAAAACTGGTACGGGATTCTCCAGTGTAGGTTGTGTGCTCAAATCTGTTAGAACTAACTCAACATCTTTCTCTACTGGACCATAGGTCAATGTACATAAGTCTATTTTTGCTTCACTATTTTTGCGCCAGCTAATATTTCAGTAGAATATTTCACAAAATCCATTAGCTCCTTTTCATTATCTACCGAGGTTACACAATGATTAATATAAAATGATATGATTTCTGAGCAGTAAAACTTTGTTCTTTAGGTCTTGTGACAAATGTACAGAAATAATTGCCCTGATAGAAAAGGACTAGGCTTTACCCCGAAAACCCTTGACTTTACCCTTGTATGGCAGAGAAACTTCACCACGTTACCTTTTTCCCACCATAAAAATCTCAAAAAATCTCTTTCTTCTTTTTGTAACTCTATCTGTAGAAATGCTTGCTGGGTATCTGAAGTAATGCCAATACATTTTTCTCTAAATCTCAACAAAATTGAAGAAATTTCTTCTGTCAAATTGGGCCTTTTAACTAAGCGGTCATTAAGGAAGGGCAGTCTACTAACATTACACGATGCGTCAAAAGCAAGTCTTTAGTCGAGGCACTGTCTGGTTTAAATTGTGATGCAGTAAATACTGCTCCTTAAAATTTAATTCGTTCTCTGATACTACTTCAGTTACACTCTCCTCTATCCATTCTTTGAAAATTCTGTCATATTCTTCATATTTATGCAGAAACTTAAGTTTTTGACTAACATTAAATAATCTTCTTACCCCTACATAGCGATTTGAGGGTACTTCTATGTTATTTTCTAACCAAGGTAACTCTACGCAATAACGACCATCTTTGTTTCACGTAAGAGAGTTCAGAAATTGTTCATAGGCAATATCTTTCTCAGCAGCATTGTTGAATTTTGATGAGCATCTAATGTTCCAGTCATCTCAGAGCTGCAAAGATCGGAAATTTTAAGTTTGCGAACAGCTGAACTTGCACACAGAGTTGAAATATTTTTATCTTTGTAATTAAAAAAATCATCACAAACTGCTGTCAACTCTCTTTTCAGCTGTTCTACTTGGCCTGTAAGATTTTTTTCTTAGATATCACTACCAATGAACATTTTGATTTATAGACAGTCTGCTCCCAAATCTGAAAACTAAATTTTGTTCTGTTTTAACTCTTTTAATATAGGACCCCAGGCACCCAAGATATATCCCCACGTATTGTGTTCTGATCTAAAAATTCAAATTCCTGATTCGAATATTTACGAGGACTGGCTGAACATAATTTTACTCAATATTTGTTTTGCAACTTTGGTTCAGTTCTGGCAACCCAGATAAAGTAAGAGCAACATTTATAGACTTCAACAAAATTACGGTTATCATCCTCTTGCAGAACGTTTACGCTGTCCCTAAAAAATTGAGACATATTGCTGTATTGACATCAGTAAAGGGAATTCCCCCTGCCTTTTCCTCCCCCTACAGCCAATGCCATCTATAAGCTTTAACTCAAAATACAAAATTATCTTTGCAGATAAGGTTAAAATAAAAATATCAAAACACATCAAATCATTTGATAACCTTTACCAAAAAAAATATAGTTAAATATCCTTTTCATCATACAGAAGGACGGTTAATCAATTTCACAGCAGTGATTATTGATGAAGCCTGTGTAGTTGCAACAATGGAGTTCTTTAATACAAATCTGAGGATGAATACACATGAAAATTAGTGCCTTATTAATTTTATTAAAGTATTAACTTTGTTACAAAATAGCAGATTTACTTGATTTGTTGCACCTTAGTAAGAAAGTTTAAAATCGAAGGACTTTTAAATATTTCTTTTTGCTTTGTATTGTTGTAAACATATAATTTATGAAGTATAATTTTAGAATCATATGTTGATTTATAATTATAAATATTCAGAGAATTCTTGGTTTGGGGTATGATAATTGTGAAACAAAAATTTTATTGGTGTCATTAGCAAAATGATATTTCCTCGCATGACATTTTCATATCTAAGATTTTATAGGTAAACATTTTCTTAAGTTTTTATCTCATCATAAACTCAGAAAAATAAAATTTCTTCAGTTTTACTTGTGCATTAATATTTTGCTGAAAATATGTGTTCTTTTTTATTATTATTAATGTGTGTGTTTAATTTTTTACAGATTGGCCAAAAGAGGCCGTTAATGCAGCCTGTTTCTCAAGTGCGTCTTATGTCTGGTTCTGGTACATCACTCGCAACACAACTTTTACAGCCAAATCAGGCTGTTTTGAATCAGAGATATGCAGGAGTAAGCATTTAAATATTAGCATTATTTTAATTGCATATTTTATTGTTATTTTGGTCAATATTTGGTTATTATATATTTATTCATTCACTTATTTAGCCCCGTTTGCAGACTAACAACCAAGCAAAGAGCTTGTTAGTTAGTAAAACTATAACTGGGTCATCAGTTGCTGCATCATCTCCTGCAACAGTTACAGCCCTACAATCTAAATTTCCAGTATCAGTTAAGAGTACTTTAATCAATGCTGCAAAAGATCAAGGAAAAAGAAATTTTTCTGCATTAAGGTGAAATATTTACTCTATTTTTTTTTTTTTTTTTTAATAATTTTAAATGTACTTTCATCTGAAATTTATCAAAATAATTATAGGGATGATGATGATATAAATGATGTAGCTGCAATGGGTGGCGTCAATCTAATTGAAGAAAGTCAGAAGATTTTGGCATCTAATGCAGAAATTGTTGGCACTCAAATCAGATCCTGTAAAGAAGAGAGTTTTTTATTTTCATCTGCCCTTCAAAGGAGAATACATACAATAGGTTTGTTTGTTTATTTATTTATTTATTTTTACCTACTTATTAAGTAGTGACATATAAGAACTATTTCAGAAATTCTCTGCAATGTTTTGTGTTTCTTTTTCTGTTAATACTGCTATTTTAAACATCAACATGGTGCTTAGTTTCTGTGTTATTATTTTTGCCTAGGTTTGGTGTTGCTAGGTTTATGCTATTATTTATAACTAACCTGCTTTTCATTTGCTTGAAAGAAGACTAGTTTTCAGTGATATAGTTTGTATTATTGTAAAGTTCATTAGGTGTTGTAATTCATCAAAGCAGAATATGGAAATTATTTTCTGGTGTAATAAAATGCTTAAAAGAATAGGTAAAAAATTTGAAAATGATGCCACTCATTTTAGGAAAGAGTCAGGCATTTGTGTAGTGCCTTAAATTAAGTCTACATTTTATGTGCCTGTAACATGGTTCTTTTAGACAGATGATTAACTTTCGATAAAGTGGCAACTGATTTTCAGATTAATCATCATATTCTACCTGTGAAATTATGCATTAAAGTCTTGTATTCATTATATCAATGCAAAATCTGACATCATAGCATAAAAAAGTATGCTGATTAAAAAATAGACTAATGGTAATGTTCAGATTTCTTGAACTTTCTTTTGCTTGAATTATATAATAAAGTTTATTTTTTTAATATAAAATCAAATTAATGTTCATGTGTAGTACAGTTACACACATTATTAAAATTCCCGAACGATATATCACGTCCCTTCTTTTGTTTTTCTTTCTTTTAAAAGGAAAATTAATAGTGTTTTTAAACTTTCTTTACTTACAGTAGAATACTTTTTATAAAAATTGTGTGTTAATAAGTAATAATAAAGTAATAATTAAAACTTGCATTTACAGCTCTTAAACCTATAAAAACTTTGCAGTAACAGTAACACTAGTTTGAAGAAGACCGTAATTAAACTAAATTTTCTTTTACAGCTCAAAAGCAAGGTTTAGAAGATGTTTCTCCAGATGTAGTTAATTTAATTTCTCATGCTTCCCAAACTAGATTAAAAACCTTGATTGAAAAACTTAGCGTTATTTCTGAGCATCGTATTGAAAATCCCAAGGTATGTTTGTAAATTGTTTAGTTCTTTCCTGTAAAAATATATGTGTTCTGATAATGTATTAAAATTGCCAAAATGAAAATAAAGTTGAATTGTTGAAACTGTAGACTGTTGTTCAGAGACAAAATATTGAATCCTTTCCAAAAACCTTTTTAAAGTATCTTTGCATAAAAAAAAGTGTTGGATTATTCTTTAATATTAAATTTCAAAATAATTCTGGTTTTCCAGACTGACAGCAGGTATGAAATGACACAAGATGTAAAAGGCCAAATCAAATTTATTGAAGAGTTAGATAAATTAGAAAAACGACGACATAGTGAGCAGGAAAGAGAAATGTTACTGAGAGCTGCAAAAGTAAGTTCACAAGATACCATGTTATCTTATACATTATGTATATGAACAAAAATATTTTGGGATTATTATGGATTCTTATTATTACTCATTTTGCTATAAAAACTTTCTGAATTATAGAAGTGATATTTTATTTCTGTATATTATTTTAAATTTATAATATGTGCAGTACTGGGTGTTAGCCAGCCTATGCGCAGTACTGGGTGTTAGTACTGCCGATATGCCGCCAACAGTCTTTTGACATTAAAATTTACTTTAAACATAGGCAGCTAAATCAGATAGATAGAGTTTTTTTTATTTCTGGCAGTTATTGGTGGCAATTGCATCAAAACTGATTTTTACTCTCTGTTTTCATATGAAATGTACTAAATGAGAAGGCAAGTGACTTCCAGCGAACCATTCTCCTGTTTTTATTCTAGTTTTTATTTTATTGTAGTTGTTAATATTACATTTTTATCATATTGTTGTCATCATGTGTAGTTTCACTATATCAAAATTGGAATATGCGATTTATGCCAACATGCCATATGCTTGGAAATAATAAATTCCTTTTGTTTATTTCTTGTAAATTTAGTAAATGTGTGATGCAGAATGAACAGACATTGCATAAAAGCTGTCCATAAGAGAAGAATTATCCCCCTGCTCCCAAAAAATGAAGTAATGTGCACTTTAAAAAGTTATGGCAAAGCACATAAGAGCTATCTGCCTAAGGGAAAATGCCTTCATGGAAGACTTTGTAAGAGCAGCTGACTCACATACATGTTACATAAGGGGGAACCACAAGAAAAATCCTATTAGCCTGCCTGTTTGCATAAGCTTGAACCAGTGCAAACTACAAGCATTCATTGGTCTTAACCACTTGTCCGCTGGTAGAATGCCTCCTAAAAAAAGGAAGAAAATGGGGGGGGGGGACATATCATTCTAAATAATGTCTATAACAGCTTCTAAGATTACCACAACATAACATTCACAGTCATGGTTTGTATTTTTCGTGGTATATATGAGGGTGCCTGTAAATACCTGAGTATCATATTTACACCTATTGAAGAGAAAAGGGATTATGATTTTATTTTATTTCTAAGCATAATAATTTTAAAAAATTCTAAATTCTTTAGAGCGTACTTAATAAATTGCATACATTTTAAAACTCATAAATGTTAAACTGCGTATGTTTTGCAATTTTGTTAAAAAAATTATTTGATTATTTCCATTGCATTCATTTGTTTGGATTATTTGATATGTGCTTTATGAGAATTATTATTACATTTGAATATTTTTATATTGCTGATGATAATAAATATTTAATACCTGTTTTATATTAAATTTCAGTTTGCATATAATTTTTTTCATCTTTCATAGAGTCGCTCTAAACTTGAAGATCCAGAACAACTGAAATTAAAGCAAAAAGCCAAGGAAGTAAGTATAGTAAAAATTAAAAACTATGCTGACAGTGTTTGAATTTTTCTCATATTTTGTTCTTCCATCAAACATATAATAAGAACACATTTAAATATATACTATTTATCTATAAAAAGTGAAGAATGTTAAATTCATCCAGAATTTCTTAAATAAGTTGCGTATCATAGAAAGATAAGGTGTATAAAATAGGTGTTGCAAATATTCAGTATATTTTTAGAATTGTAAAGGATATTCCTGTGTTCTAGAAAATTGGTATTTTAATAAGGAACTATCTGGGTTTCAGCTGTATTATAATTAATGACTGCTGTTCTTTTATTTAAAACTAAACATCTGGATGTTCCATGTTAAATATAATAAAGAAGAGCTACAGTGTATAACACCTTCTCCCCCCCCCAAAAAAAAAAAATCTACAGGCCCTAAAAATGTAGTGGAACATAACCAGGGCTCTGGAGTTGGTAGGGAAAATGACCAACTCCTGAAATTTTAGACTCCAACTTCCTCATATATATGTAAATACATGTGTTACAGCTTAATTTTTTAATATAAAAGTAATAGATGCCACAGAAAAAAAAATTGATGACATTTCACATTATTTTTATTAATTAGCATTTATTATGAAATGGAGAAACTGACATTAGTAATTTCTAAGAAACAGTATAACTTCAGTGAGATCTTCTTTGATAAAGGACCATAGATTGGATTTGATAAACTTCAGAGCTGAAAATAGTCTTTCCATACTAACTTGAGTAGGAGGAAGAGCTGTTAATGTTAGGGCTACTTCTTTTATCTTTTCGGGGTAGATTTGTATAAATTCTAAATGAAAGTCTTGCAAGCGCAATCATATTCCTCTGTTTCTTCAAGGGCTGTGTAGAAATCTTGTTTGTATTTTTTTATTTTTATATCTAAAGGCTCTTGAATCTTTATTTTCATTTGTTTTACCGTAGCCTTTTCAATATCATCCAAATATTTCTCAAAATCTAATTCATCATTGGAAGAGGATGAAAGAGACTCAGTTGCAGTGTCTTCAGTCCGACTGTCCTAATTTGAATACTCCAGTTGTTCTGAGAATAATTTCATTCATAGTGAAAGTTCATAGATGGCATTCTTTGCCTTTTTAATTTGTTTGTCACCCAATAAAATTCAGTGTTTTGGATGTACATATATTGAATGTATACCTAAAAATGGCATCAATTTTGGGAGTTCTTGCTGCCGTTGCTGCTTGTACTATATTTACCAATGAGATTTGTAACTAAGTGAATCAGTTTAATGAATAATGGCAAATATCCTATGCATCCTCTTCCTTTATATTTATTTATTAATATGTCAATAAAATAGAAAATAACTAAATATTTATTAATGTATATATTTCATAAATAAAGATAACTCCATTTGTCCCCCCCCCTTTTTTTTTCTCTTCCAATTCCCTTTAATTTCATTTCAAATTCAAAATATCCAACAAAAACTGGAGTTGATGTGTTTTTAGCAACTCCAAGAGTTCCGTAATAGGCTCAATATGAGTTATCTCCAGTACGTAACCATCCACGAAGATTGAACTTTCCTTCATACATTATTTCTCAAGATTTTTGATGAACTGAATCATCTCGGATTCATTATTAAAACTGGCAACAAAGTTTTCTACGTAGAAGCTATGCTGGAGTTTAGCTATTATCTCCATGTTATGATGAGAATCTTTCATATACTTTTGTGAATGGAATTTTATAACAGCTGTCAAAAAGAAAGGACTGCTGTTGATCCCAAACACTACTCTAGTATGACAAAATATTTTTGTTTTCTTTTCTTTCACTTCATTACACACACAAAAAAAAATTGAAGCCAATCTCTATCTCGAGGCTTTACACTGATCTGTATAAAAGCCTTCTCAATATCTGCTGTAGTAGCAAATTTGCCAAAATCTCAACTGACGAGACGGAATTAGTTCTATCAAATTTGGACCACTCTCCAAACACTGCTTTAGAGAGGGAGACAATTTTTTTTCCTTGTATTTGCATTAAGCACTGGCCGAATTGGCATTAAGCTAGTTTCTTTAATCGCCGGTCTATGTGGTAAATAGAGTCTGTAGCCAACAGCTGCATTTTCTTTAACTTCTTCGATCGCCCTTAAATTGTTTTTCTTCAAGTTTCTGGGTAGTAGATTGTAAATGATTCAAAGCTAAATCCTTATTGGTTAGGAGTGGTATATGATTTTCAGCCCATGGAAGTGCGACTTCATAACGCCTTTCTTCATAACGCCTAGTGATACAGAATTTGAAACTGCGTCTTTGCTTAAATATCCTTTTCCTTTCTTGTCTTCTTTGGGACTGAATCTGTTATTCCGATAACATCGACTCTCCACAGTTCTATGAGAGTAGCATCATTAACAAGCATATTCGTCACTATCATGGCAGAATTAGCATCAATATCTGGATAGGTAGTTTTCCCATTAAAGTCCATCCTAATGATGTTCCAATAGCTACTAGTCCACACGACAAATTTATTGTTTTTCCATTAAATTGCATACCCGCTACATCAGCTCCTATTAACAGATCAATTTCTAATTATTTATCTTTTCAAGGATTAATTCATCTGTCATAATAATATCATTGTCAGAAAGTTCTTTAACACATGATTCCAGTTTGGGAATAAGGAACTCGGAATGAATTTCTTGCTGGTCAAGGACTTCAAAATTGCAGTGATAATCACCATTTATACTGCTTGATCACTTAACTGTTTTGCCCAAACACCGTTTGAGTGCTGTGAAAAGGGACTTTTTTTATTTGCCCATACACCGATCAGGCAGTGTATTTTCCTACACCAATCCACTGATTTTCCCAGCTTTTTCACATATTTTACTTTGCAGTGTTTCTAATGGATGTTTCTAGTATTCCAGGAGAGATTGGATTGTAAAATCAGTTCAATGGTGTGTTTTACCGCTTTTCAGTGGGTGAAGATATTCAGCGAGTTTGTTTGCATATGTTCAGTGTATTTGGCTTTGTGAATAGTATTTCTTCCCAATTTTGTCATGAAATAAAAGAACAGTGGGTGACAGTAAATGGCTCATAACGAAATATAATTCTGATGCTGGATCAGATAGTGAATCTATTTCCTATAAATGATTCTGGTAGTCCTGAAAGTTCTTTATCGGAATTCTCTAGTGATGAGGAGGAAACAGAAAGTTCAGATAATCTAATTCAGGTTTGTAACTTTTGTGAAATGGATATTAGAAATCCACCACCATCACGATTTCCTTTCACAGTCAATTCACTTCTTTCACATTTATTTCTTCTAAATTGTTTTTTACAGTTCTGCAGTTTCGTCAGAAAAAAAAAAAAAAAAAAAAAAAAAAAGCCAACTTTAAGTTAAAATGCCTTAATTTTGCCATAATTAAAAATTATCTTAAATTAAGAAATGCAATACTTGTAACATTCTGACTGCTGATTTGAATTCAAAAAATCCATTAGAATACAAAATTGTTTATAAAAAATATACTTATTTTTGCTCACAGTATGGTAAGAAAATAAAACAGTTAAGTGGTTAAATATACCCTATATTGAAAATGTTTCTTGAAATGTTCTTTACGGCCAAATAAATTATGAATAAAATTTCCTCCTTAATTTTCTGGTGCTGCATTTTCCTTACCACATGTCTCCTTAAATAAGATTATTAGGAACCTGAAACGATGAATGCACGATTTATTTTTTCTCCATTTATGTCCCGTAATCTCGCATATGGTGTTTGTAATAAGGACTTTACATGTACGTGTTCAGTTACTTAACGCTGCATCAGTAATCGCATTTTGTTTCATTCCTGATGTTTTCCTTTTGTTGTTTATGTTCCTTCATTTTTTTTTTTTTTTTTTTCCCCATTGCACTCTGAAATGTCTGTCCTGACAGTTTTCGCAAATAATTTTGCATTTGCAGTCTCCTGACTTATGATCAATTCTACAACATAAAAACATGATTTTTTTGATAATAATTTTTCTTATCATCTAATATCATATTTAATGCAGCTTTTACATGCTCATTATCCATGTCCTTTCCCCAACCCCACTCCCCCTCCAAAAAAGCAGACAGTTTGTTTATTTTTTTGCAGTTCCTGTGGTGTTGCAAAGTCCAACGGCAGTGGAAATATTGTGCGTTTCAATTAGCAGATGGCAGGGTAGAATGTTTGACCTTACTTACAAAACTTTGCTTTGCTAGAGATATTCTCTCTTTACCCTTTACTTCGGATTTTAGAAAGGTCATTAAAGCAGTAAGTTTATTTGATGATTTACCAGTTTCATGTAACACTTCTTTCCCATGCTCTAATGACATCCTCAGGGAAACAAGATTCAACGTGAGGGTATAACATATATGCATATTTATCAGACATGATGTTTAATGTCTCGAGTACTCTCAGATGAGTTTCAATTTTATTGTACAGTTTGGCGAATCGTGTTGCTTTGTTTTAGCTCAAAGAATTATTCAGAATTAAGTTCAACAATTCTCTCACATATACTTCTATGAGGAGATCCTCTTTACTGAATCGAGCTGTAAAACATTCAGTTACTTAATAATAATTGTCAGTCGACAGGGGAAAGAATTAATGATATCTCTTGCACGCAATCCTTCAACATTGGCTTTAAATAAATACTGAATTTTATCTTCAGGTGAAATTCCTAGATCATTGGGAATTTTCTTATATTGATCGCAGAAGCCCAACCATTCCTTAACAACACCACTGATTTTTTTTTTTTTTTTTTTTTTTTTTTTAAATTCAGTTTTTAGAAATTTAACCAGACATTTTTTAATTGTAGCATTAAGAGTACTATACTTAATTCCCTGAATTAGTATTATTCATTATTTTTCAGACCTTAGTTCTAAGCCATATATATTTTTCAATATATTGTTCTACCCTCATATTCCCTATCAAAATTACTTTGAGAACATTTAGGATCATCAGATAACAATTTTATAATTTATAATTTCTTTTTCTACCAAATTAAGCTCCGACTATTTTTCTTCTAACTGCGTCATTGGAATTTCAATTTCTTCTGTATCACATACTTCTTTTTCTGAACAGTCTTCAAATTTAGTAGATATTTGTGAAAAAAATTTGTAAAAAAGTATGTAATTTCTTTGGACCCTCCATTTTTAGCGTTAATAAATAAACATATATTTATAATCATATAATAATGCAATAAATAAATGCCTCATGCCACCCACCCGGGAGGCATTAAATAATGTTTTAGAAGGTCAATAATAAAACATCAAAAGGTAAAACTTACCTTTTTTCTTCTTCACAGTGGGCTCCTGACAAAAGGATTCTGAAATATGAACTCGTTAATCCAGTCTAAAAATGGGAGGCTTCCTTAACAAAATGACATATTTTGTTATTTACATAGAATAAAATAAGAGATTAATTACAAATATGACAAACAGCATTTATTCCTGCTTCCATTCATTATTGACACTACTCTCTCTAATTTATTTTAGTCCTCAGTTCATTTCAGTTCATAGGGAATGAAAACTGCTGAGAGACGGGCTCAGCAATGAAACATATATGGATAAAGTCTGAAATTTGGACTTGTCGGGACTTCAGCGATTTTGGATTTTTACAGATATTAGATCATCAGTTTAAATATAGTAAGATGGCATGTAGAAATTATAAAATTAAAAATATGAAATCAGGATTTATGAAACAATGAAGTATTTATGATCTAAAGGGCACCAGATTTACAAAAAAAAAAAAAAAAAAAAAAAAAAAAAAAATGAAAGCTTAATATTTATTTATTTACTTTATTAAACATTCTTCAGTGGAAATTGTTTAAGTTGCTTCGTTTGTTATGCTAATACTTTCTCTTCAGTTTCTATAGGCAGCCATACTTTTCTTATTCAGTTACAAAGTTCCACTGTTCAAGTCTTGTAGTTGCTGAATGTCCGATCGAACTTATCAATCAAAATATTTTCTGTTTTTAATAACCTTCTCTGCTCACTTTCTTCACTATTGGTTAGCGGTATTTTTTGGATATAGAACCATACTACAAATTTTGCCATCCGTTAATTGATTGATGATTGGAGTATTGTCATTACAGTGAAATCTTCTTTTCTTATACCATCTTCATTTATTACTGCTTCTCTATGTTTCTTTACAAAATCCATTAATTGGAAAATTCACTTCCCTTCCCCCCCCCCCCGATATCCGAAAACCTTTAAAATTAGCGGCTATCTTCATCAAATTTAGCTATCCTTCACAATACATATTTGGCTATGCATTATGACCTTAGCATCTAATGACAAGTTGTTCCGTTAAATTTTATCTTGCTTCTATCACGTAGAGACGATTAAGCCTAAATTGTATTAGTTATTTATTATACTTATGTTTATTTCTTGCACATGCTTAAGGTTCAGCTTATCAGAAGCTCTGAATAAATAAATTCCCACATATACTTAATCCTTATTGAGGGCGGGCACAAGTTGTCATATTTTGATAAACATGCAGTGATGAAAGGAAAGTATAATAAATAATGATTCCCCGGTTTGGCGTCAGATCAACGATGTATTTATGTGGAATGGTTCGGTTTGAGATATGTGTCAAGCAGATATGCAGCAATGGTGCCAATTTACTGATCGTACAAATTTATGCTAAAATGATTGTTTCTTCAACAACAAGGTATTTTATTTAGTGTCGAAGTGAAATTAATAATCAGAACTCTCCAGATGTTTTATCATGCGTGGAGGGGGAATCAATTGTGCATGTGTAAAGCCTACGAGAAAAAATGTTGTTGGTGGTTTTGAGGTTCAGATTTTGGACTTTGTATTGTATTACAAAAGTAATTAGTAATATTAAAATCATGATTTTTTAATGCTTCAAGCAATATTATATTTATTACTGCTTGAGTGCTTGCTATTAATATGAAATTCCTACTTGAGTTAGTAATTTAAAAATTATTTGTGTTTATGTAATACTAATAAAATCTCAGGAAACTGTTTGCTTTTTTTTATAATTGCTGTAATATTGTACTGCTTCAAAGTATTTTTAATGTTAATTATGTTCAATTATAACTCATATCAGAAACATTTTCCAGAACTTTAAATCAGCACTGAAGAACTATCTGAATAAAACGTATTTTGCTCATTGAGTGTTACATAGAAGGTGCGCTTAAATGTCTAAAAACCAGACTTTGAGAATTTCATTTCTCACGCATCAAGAGTTGACAAGTTAATTTTCCTTACTCACCTTTGTCTGAAATATTCCCCCACCCCACCCCCAAGAAATAAGTATTAAAACCAGACTGAGAGACTAGCCATAAGAAATCCTCTAAATCGTATGCTTTCTAATATTTATATGCATTGTTATGTATCCAGACTATTTGAAATTTAGACTTACCTGTGTTGTTCCACTATGTTGGTAATGGTCTGTTTGACAGTAATAAAGATGATTTAAGTGTTTTTAATAATGAATTTCATTAACTATGCTATTCAGCTCACTTTTAAACTTAAGACATTTATTTCGTTCTTGTTCCCCGACATCTTGGTCACATATGACATAATGAACTTCACTACTAATGTTTACTGTAAACTTTCATCTGTTTGCTTTCCACACCACATTTCAAATCATGTCATTTGACTAACCAAAAGTTAGCTCTGCATTTATTCCTTAATTTTTCAAGCACCTTAAATTTGCTCCTGCAAATCGGCTCTTTACCAAGAATTAAAGCAGTTGCTATTCATGTAACATTGTTGACAAGTAGTTAAAAAGTTCTTAGCTCAACACATCAAGAAGCACTTTCTCATTTTAGGAAATAATAAGAATTCTATTACCATTTCTTTCTTCCTGTTGACTAATTATAAAATTGCATGTATTTTACAGAAATTAAATTTTCAGCTTATTATTATTATTACATACCTGCCAACTTTTACGAAAATGCGTTTGTCTTTACGATTTTACGATCGTAATCCATTTTTATGATTTTTTCTCCTTTTTCAAGTGTTTTTAGTGATTTTTTTCGAAATTTTAGAAATTTTCGCCAATTGCATCGTGTTTTACCGCCAGCTACCGACTACTTCGACTCCAGTGACCTGCGGTTTCTCCCAACTCGCCGCTTAACCAGCCAATCCAATGCACAGAACTTGTTTCTCCCACTCTTTTCTTTATGGGTGCCAGATTATTTTTTTTCGCGTTTGCTTCAGCAGCAAGGGAATTACTCAGCGAACGTGGATTGTCGCATTTTTTTTTTTTTTTTTTTTTTTGCACGTGCTACGAATTTTATAATACGTCGTTGTTACGAAATGAGTTCAAAAAAACTGTATTCTCAATATTTCGGTCTGCCTACAAAGCTGAATTTCAAACAATAAGAATCCTTCAAAGGAATAACTATGAATTCCAAAGAATTTTTGGCTAAAGCCAAAAAATGCACTCTAAATTCATTGCAATAATATTTTTGTGTAACATTAGCTCTTGTTTATGTTTCCTATAAATTTTTTAGTTACTACTTAATTGAGATTTACTAATGTAAGTAAAATTTCTTTTTCTATTTGTATAAATTGTTATTTTTTAATATCAAAGCATGATATTAATTCTTCATGTTCTTCTGAATTTTTATCTTTAGAGGTTGGCAGGTATGTTATTAAAATTTGCAGTAATATCTTCCATTCATTTTTTACAGGCATTTCACATTCATAAAAATTTTCTGCTGTAGTTACAGATCATAATTCCAATCCATTTTTATCCTTAGCTCTTAAGAAAATTATTTCATATTTTTATTTTTCATCAGTAGCTTGACTTCAATCCTGTCATTCTTATCGCCTGAACTCAGGCTTGTCTTTCATTATTTGTGAAACAGCATCTTTCATTAACAACTGAAGAACGGTTTATATTTAAACCTTCAAATCTTGTCCTGCAAATTTACAAAAATTATGCTGATTCTTGTTGCTTTAACACCTTCAATAATGCATGATATAATTCTGAGTTATACTGACTATTTGTTTTGCATTTCATGTTAGATGTTTTTGAGAAAGAGTATATTTCATGTTAAAGTCGTTATAAATTTATTTCATTCCTGCTGATCCTTGAATCAGGAAAAGAGTGTAAAAAAAATTTATTTTAATCTTAGAAAAATTTTAGTATCAATAACATCAGTGCTTGATTTATGTAGACATAAAGATAAGCTTTCTACTTAGTCATAAAAAATAGATACATAAAACATCCTTGCTTCTCATTTTGTGATAAAAAGGAAATATTTTGCCAGCCATTTGATAATGATTTGCAGCATGTTACAGTGCACTATGCCCATTGGTCGTTTAGCTTCCTCATCGTGTAGAACATTGCCCTGATTGCATGACAGGGGATGACTGACTTTGTCCCAGTTCTGATGGCAAATCCAGGCCTCTTCTACCCTCCTCTACCACCAAACTTCTCGAGAGGACTTTTGGCTCACCTCTATTTTAAATGCCCCCATACCACACTGACACTATGCAGTCCAAGCCTTATCCAAAATTTGAACCCTCAATGATGCCGCAGCCAACATCACTAACCGTGATACCAGTCAGGGTGGCTGGTTTGCAACCTATGCTGATGTTTGTCAATAATCTTAATGTCATTAAATTACAAGATGTGTGATAATCGGGAAGTACAAATAAATTTGTATTTAAGTGACCTTATTTCGATAAATGAAGTTGGATATGGTTTCTAATTTATGGACTAATATTGTTTAAATGATGCAGTAAAAGTCTTGTGAGAAGATTATAGGAGGATGTGGAAGACTTGTCAATGTGATTAGGATGTGATTTACATAAAAAATTTTTAAATATTACATATCTGCTATTTTCTTATACAGATGCAAAGAGCTGAAATGGAAGAAATGAGGCAAAGAGAAGCCAACACTACAGCTTTATTAGCTATAGGTCCTAGAAAAAAAGCAAAAATAGACAATAATTTAACATCATTAAATCAGGTATGTAGAAGAATATTTTTTAATATATTTCTTAGTGCTGTATTTAATATGCAGAATTTATAATAATAATATGTTTCTTGAAGTAACCTTCTTAGGAATAATTATATATCTCTTTTCTCATTATAGGCAAGTCCATTTTCTGGATTAAATAGCAGTTCGTCAAAAATGCAGGTTTGTATTCAGATAAAATTATAAATACTATTTAAAAAAATTAGCTGTTTAGAATAGTTTTTTAATTATTTATTTGACATGATTTTGCTCAGAGGACTGTATCAAAAATCTGTGATTATTCTCATCGCATATGTTCTAAAGGGCATATCGTGTGAACTCTAAATAATAAGATTTAACTGGGAGTATAAGTAACCTGAATGATTGTTTATGATTACCTACCCATGTTTTATTATAATTTTAAAAAATTCTTTCATCTACCCTACTTTATTTTAACACAAAATTCAGGACTTATGAGGTAAGTATATGGAAATAATTATATTATCTTAAAAAAGAATTTAGTTGTAACAACACTTTATTTTACAAATTAAGCAAGACAAAAATTTAGTTATTTTTTAATTTGCCTAAACATACAATCCGCTTATTTCAGTTTAATTACCGTAATTTCCGGAAGAAACGCCGCTGCGTTTACGTGTTTAAAACTTAAATTTTCAGCGGGTGCGGCGTTTCTACCCATGCGGCGTTTAGGTGCACTAAAAATAAAATATTTCCTATGATGGTCATTGTACATAGTTGGATGGCCTTGTCATTGTGCATAGATGGTGCTGTTCCCACACAAAAGACCACTCAGTTGCTTTTTGCGAAAGTTATACTGTTTACATTCTTTTCCTTGAACGGACCTACATGCCTTATTCACCCAAAACGAGATCTCAGAACAGTAACATTCTTCCCCCTTTCAAATCAACATTCTCATCAGTTTGAATAGTCTCTCTCCTCTGCTAGTCGATGAATCTTCCAGGACCCATCCTCTCCCTACCCCTGCCTTTTCTGCAATTTTTTTCAAAGGCGGACATGACTCCACCTCCGGTCCATCTCCAGCACAATAGAACTGTCCTGAAAATTCAGTTTGGCCTTCGCGGCTTTTAAAAACTCCAGGCCTAAAATAACTCGACTTTTTTTACCATTAATCGCAAATTTTTTACCTACAAAAATTAATACATTAAGGCTTTCATCTTTTACGTGTATCTTGTAATGATAATTTCCCAATGCACTGACAAGTTTGTCCTTGAGCTGCTATGATTTCTGTGTTTTAATTTTTAAATAATCGTAACCTATTAAAATTCTTCTTAAAAAAAAATATCACTCATAAAAGTACCTTCTGCTCCTGTATCGATGACGACTTCTACTGGTACATCGCCAACCAGGACTTGTATAATCGGGAAATGTGAGTTTTTTACGATGACTGTATTTAAGTGTCTTTTGAGGGTTTTTTCAAAACTTCCGGGATCTGGACCCTCGCTTTCACAGGCCCCTCTAGAAAGTTTAAAGCTTTCCTTTAACTTCTGACTTCTGGGTACGCGGACGTTTGTTTTCAAATTTCCTTTTTGGGCCTTGACCTTCGAGCTTCGATGAGTTAGCTTGATAGCTCTTTTCCCCATAAGAGCGATTTGCATTTCTGGTCTGCTCATTTGAAGATTGCCTTCGGATACTTTGAGAATGCGATGCCCCTCTAGCTTTTTCCGCTAATCTGTGATTTTGAAACTTGACCGCCAATTCGAAGAGCTCCTGCAATGTGCTTGGGTTTCTAATTTCGAAGTAGTCTTGAACAGCAGGTAGCATAGCTGTCAGCTTAATTTTTCGCAGAATAAAGTCCGTCAGCTCTTCTATATTCCATTGATAAAAACTATACAGTTCGGCTTCTAGCCTTGCTCGATCTTTCACTATGGGGAAGGCCTTTAATAACGATTTTTTGAAATTTTCAAATGTATATGTATGGCCTCCCAATTCCCCTAATAAAAATTTGCCTATATTCTTCCACCATAGCGCGGCCTGTCCTCTAGGCAGATGTGGCGATGGCAACTTTTTGTCTTCAGGCACAGGATAGAGCTGGAAGTGATTGTCTAGGCCTTCTAGAAATATCGCCACCGAATTTTTTCTGTCGAAATTGACGGTTTGGCTTCATAGATGCTCTCATCGTTCTGCACCAGGTATCCAAACTCTTCTAACTGGTTCGCCATTTCTTGCTGTTGCAGTTGAACAGGGGCTTCCATCCAATTTTCGGCCCTCTGAGTTCGTAAGATGTTCGGGCGCCAAATGTGGTATCGTGTGGCGCTTCCAACTTGTCACGCATCAATAGTGGTAGTGACTGCTACGAAATGCAAATTTAGACTCAAACACGTAATAAGGGTTTAAATCCCTTTTTATTCCACTTAAAAAATAACAGCTGCGTCCCTCTTGACGCTCACAAACTACGCCGACCCGGCGGTAAAATAAAAATAAAAAACTAAAAAACTAAGAAAAATAGTAACAAGTGACTAACTACGAGGCTCTATAAACGTAACTAACCTCACCGCGTTCTAAAATACCGCTGATAATTCAGCAAACTTCTGATATTACGCTGAAAGATTAACAAATGCCGAGGCAAGCACACAGGCCGAAACGCGTGGTTCTTCAATTTCTAACTAGCCATCTCCACGCTCGTGAAGTAAGAAAGCACACTTTCGAACTCGTTTCCTTTCTATTTAACTCGGATACTTCCGCTGACAATTTGAACCCTTGCGCATTCTACTAAAATTTACATACTCTGGCATTGGCAATTCCAGGGGAAAGTAAGGCTTGACAGGAAAGATAGTTTAAACTTAAAATAAATGTTAGTTAAAATAAATATAAACCCTACACGCTTATAAGCAAAATTTATAGCAAAATGAATGAACATAAATGATTTCAAAGGAGGTATAGCAGATTTATGAAAAGAAAAAATATTTCTATGCGTACTAGAACAACAGTCGGGCAACAATTACCAATGGACTGGCAGGATAAAAAGTCATCTTTTCTAAAATATGTGACAGTTATTATTGACAAAAAAAAAAATTCTTCGGTCACAGATAATAAATATATATGAAACGCCATTAGCTTTCGACTCTCCTGCAAACAGAACTGTTGATAAAACTGGTGCAAAAACTGTATCTGTGTTTATGACGGGGCATGAAAGAACGTCATTTACATGTGTGTTAGCTTGAGTCGCAAACGGTGACAAGCTAACGCCGATGATCATATTTAAATGAAAGACTGTTCCGAAGGGAAATTTTCCTAATGACGTAATTACTTGTGCAAACGAGAACGGCTAGATGTGCGAAACAATTATGCATGAGTGGCTACAAAAAGTTTGGCAGTATCTTATGGGATCTTTTTTCCAACCAAAGGGATTACTGATAATGGATTCCATGTGTGCTCATTTCTTTGAGTCAGTGAAAACCAGATGTCAAAAATTGTCTACGACCGAAGCAATAATTCCTGGTGGTTTGACAAAATCTTACAACCGTTAGATTTGTCAGGTAATAAATCCTTCAAAGTTGAAGTCCAAAAGCGGTGGGAGTGTTGGATGAGTGAAGGATTGCATACGTAAACCAAAAGCGGTAAAATGCGTAGAACATCTTATGAAGAAATTGCAAAGTGTGCAGGAAGTGTATGGAAATCGGTAGAAACATCGTCAATAATAGCAGGGTTCAAAGAAGCTGAAATTTTATCCTTAGATAAAGAGACTGTAAACCAAGAGGATGAATGCGACTATCTGGAAGACTTAGATCAGGATTTACTAAATCTTTTTAATTCAGATAGTGAAGAATCAGATTTTGATGGCTTCATATGATGTATAGTTTGCTGTAATTCGTAAGGAAATTTAAAAATTTCCTTTTGTCATCCAAATTTAATATTTCGTTGTTGCAACATTTTTTTATTAATATAGTCTGAGTATTAGAAATATGGGACTTCTTTAGTGGGTAAATATAAGTATATACGTGAAGGTAAATATATTTCCACATTTCTTACCTTTAATTTATTTTTGAGTATGGTTTCATTTCATGCATTTTTCTTAACTGGTATGTCATATGTCAGGACTTAGGTTGAGTTTTTGCATCTATACGGCCCACGACGATGTCATGCGCAATTTAATCTATTGCAGCGTTTCTGTGTAATTTTAATTTTTTTCCCGCCATTTTTCTCGAGTGCTGCGTTTACGCTGATGCGGCCTTTCTTCCGGAAATTACGGTATATTAATAAAGTCAATTTTATTTTCATAATTCCTAAAACTGAATGCTTATAACTCTTTTTTTTAACTTGAACTAAGGCAGTATTTTTTTATTATTATCATTTTATTTTATTTATAATTAATGCAGCATTGTGCACTTGGATTTTTAGAAAAGAAAACTTTGTTATTGTTAAGCATTGACTGATCACAATAGTATTCATCAAACATTAGTAGAGTTATGTACAAGATGTTTCAAAAATATCCTTACTAGTGAAAAGAATTACTAAAGTGAATATCTTCAAACATGGCTTGTTTCTTTCATTAAAACATGTTTGTTTATTTTAGGTAGTTGGGAAGAAATTTCTATGAATAAAAATCTAGTTTGATCCTCATATTTTATATGAACATTTTCATATTTCATAAGTATTTAAAATTTTAATGGGGTAAAATGAAAGGCCAAGACAGAGAATATCAAGTATGGATCAGCTTTGCAGCCATTTTCCTCAAAAAAAGTTCTTCATTTTTATTTGTGACATTCGTAATAAATGCAAAATGTTGCATGAAAACAATCTAAAATTTTGTTTCCGGAGAACTTCGTCAAATTAGTTAAGTTTTTTTAATAAGGTATTTTTCATGCAAGATGGAGCTCTTTTTTTATAATAGATCATAAGTTTAGTAATTACTAGAGTAACAGTTCAAAGAGAAAAAAGCATGAAGTTCAAAGATAGCATCAGCAGTCCACTAGACTTGGGACAGAATCAGATAACATTTGTGAAATAAAACATAGATCATTTATATTTCGTGATAAAGAACATTGTCTTCCACTATCATATACAAGTCGGATACTATGGCCAGTGCATTGAATCATGCCTCTGATCTTTTTGAAAGATATTGGAAACACAGTATGTAATTTTTACTTACAATATGAATAAAATTCTTTACGAACTATGCCATTGTTCCCAATCACTGTATTTTTAGACTTCTTTCTCTGGTATTATTAAATCTGATGGCATTCAACCTGTGTGGTTCTTTTTCTAGATTGTTCAAAGCAATGATACTTTAATTAAAAACACAGTGGCATTCAGGTTGTTATTTATGTATATTTAGTGAAAGAGAGGAAGAAATTGCACATTTAAAATGAATTGGTATAACTTGCACTTGCTTATTAAACTCAGTTAAATTATCTCCAATTTTAGCAGATCTTCAAAATCTCTTATGAATAACGTCTCAACAGCTGCAAAACTATCCAGTTCCAGCACATTTCCAAAAAATGCAGGATAATTGCTTTTCAGCCACTCTGAAAGTGTTCAGAAACTCCAAACAAAACCAATGAGTTATTTTGTGAACAATTCTACGTATCTTTAGAATTTCTGACAGACAGTCTTGCACGCTGGAGATAAAAATATTTCATTCTATAAAGCGTTTCCAATGCTTGCTTTCAAATCATTCAGTTTGTTAATAAAAAATGCATTCAAATTTTACAAAATATACATACAAGTTACAAGTGAAACATAAAATTTGAAATTAAAAATTTTGTACTTCCAGGTGCACATGTTTGCGTGGACAACTATGTTATTCAAAATTTAATGGTTCTAGGTACCATTATTGTTTCACAGTGCAGGAACATGCATACAGATTCTTCATTCTTGTAATTTCTTTGAAAATAATACAGGGCAGTAATATTTGGTGGCAAGAATTTGAAAAGTGATTCGCTGTTTATAGTGGACAACTCTAATTCCCATTTCGAGACTAATAGCCCATTCAGGCTAATGCCCATTTGGCCTTAAAAAGGTTTTATATGCAGCTATGCTTTATAGCATTTATTCTTTTTTCAGAGTTAGTAACTTGCAGGTGTATATTTAGCAATTTAATTTTATGTATTTTTGTGTTGTACATGCTATTAATGGTAATTATTTTCTTTCTGTTTGCTGTTTTGGCTTATGAAAAGTTTTAAAGGCATGTTTTACGTTTAAATAAATATATAAATACAAATAATTTTGAATTTTCAATGCATTTTCGTAATTTATTGACTATAAAGGGTGTTTTTTTTCAAAAGTAAGCAAAATTATCTATGCAAATTTAAGTTCATTATATTTTTCCTTAAAGTAAGTTTTAAAAAGAATTTTATCATATTAGATGAAGAGTGTTAGAATGATCTTCATTAAATTTTTATGTTTTCTCTCCTTTTAGCAACGGCCAAGAGTTAAAAGAGTCAGCATGAGAGATTTGCTGTACTTAATGGAACAAGAAAGAGAAACAGTTCGAAAACCACTATTGTATAAATCATATTTAAAATGACATTAACTTGCTATATAACATATCTTCCGCCAAATAAAAAGGATCTTCTTCCCAGTTAAAGCATTCTCTGTGAAACAAGCTGTGTTCATCTAAGTTGAGCTTTCCAGTGAGGAGGTACATCAGATTCCATCCAATATTAGCAAATAACGACTCACCACTCTGTGTACATAGTTACTGTGAAAAGCAATGACTTCCCATAAGACAATTAGTGAGATGTAGTTTTATGTAACAAAGACTTGTAAAATTCCTAATTGGTGCTTCAGGACATGAAACTTCTCAAGCACTCGTAATACTTTCTAAAGTTTTATACGTGATTCATGAATTTTGTAACTCTTCTGTACATAGCAAAATGTACATATATAAATAAATAACTATAAATAAATAAATATATATAATTATATATATATATATATCATAAAATTTGGCAGCGGCCATAACTATACAATGTTTATAGTAACCATGGAATCATTTCATTATGTAATGAATTTCATTTTGCTGTATATTGCTTGTAATGTATTGTGAAAGTTTTATTTAAAAATAATCATTTTCCCAATTCAAATCATTTGAGTGTGTTGAAGTATATTTTTGTTGAAAATATGTTTTTAAGTTTATTTTTGGCACAGCTGTATACGAGCAGATAAGCCCTAGCACAATTTTCTACATAATTTATGTAAAGTAATTTAAATTATATGAATCTGAAAATGTGTTCAAATGTAATAATATCTCATTGGTTTTCATAGTTTTTGTTTTCTCCTGTGTGGGAAATAATATGTGCAATTGTAGAAGTTTAAATTTTACATCCAGTTGTCCCTGAAAATGCTCATTTTTTTATTTGTGCTATCTAGAAGCATAAAATTTGAATATTGTGATGCCATATACTAGAACTGATATTTATAGAATTATAAGCTTTATAAGATTATACTTTGCCAAAATTTTATGTCTTCCTAAGTAAGTTCATCTGTGTGTTCTAGAATAGAGCCTTTTTTTTTTTTTTTTTTAAATACAAATTTCTAATCAAATGTGTGAATTTTAAGGTCATGCCTATCCTATAGCATAACACAGTATGAAGAAAAGATTTCTACATAACTTATATAAAGAAATATGTCTGGTAATGCTACTCTGTTTCTTTTTTCCCCCATAGTGTAATTTTAATGTAAAAAATAGTAATGTGCTGACACCATGACGTATAAAAACATTTTTTACCACTCCAGTTTCTAATAGTTATGAAAATGATGACAGTAATGTTTTGCTAATAATACCTTCTTTGTGTTAAAATATTTTTAATTTCATCATTTAAAAATTATATTTACCTCTTCCATGTAGACTTTAAAAATTTAATTTTACCTGATTAGTCAGGTAGCCTACTTCATTCGCATAGATTTGTCTTCTTTATCTGTGAAAAGTTGTTATGGATTAGATCCCCCGCCCCTCAAAAAAAGTTGTATAAGCTGTTTGTTTTCTTCTGTAGGTAAAATACTCAGAACTGGTTTTTTAACTTAATTTAAAAGCAGTGTTTAGGATTTTTGTTAAATTTACCAGTTGAAATGATTAACAGAAAAATTAGTTGATTATATCTAATTAGGAATGAGGAGTCTTTATATTTGAAGGTCATATTTGAATTAATCAAAAGACTAGTTGCTTAAAACTTGTGAAATATCTTGACATTTTGTAGTGAAATTTTAAAAAAAATGAATAATTAATAAACCTAGAATCCTTTGGATTTTGCATTTGTGAATACAATAAAAAATTTTGTGTGTAGTCCAGGGCTTTAAATATGCTGGAAATATAAAGCATGGCAAAGTAACAATATTCATCCTTTTCCTGCATTATTGCATAAAATTTGTTTTCTAACCTTTTCTTTTATGATGCTTAAATTTTAGCATCTCTTTCTTTTCCTCATTTAATTTATTCTGATTTTGAAAAGGTTCTGTTTATATTGGATGTAATTTAATCAATTATTTCCAATACTTTCTTATTTCAAAAGTTCAAGATATTTCTTGCATCTGTTTATTTTATGCTTTGCAATAAATGATTTTATGTTGTTTTTTAACTCTGTTATAATTTGTTTTATTATTGTTTCTAATTGATAGGCATTTATCAATCACATGTTGAAATCTCTATTTTATTCACTTTACTTGAAATTAAAATTCTGCACATTTGATATAGAAAAATATATATATATATATCATCAATATAATGTCTTGCGTGCTGTAGTACCTTTGTTTTTTAAATGTGTTATTAATTTTCATGTTGAAATACCTAATATTAGACAGGAAGGAAAATATTAATAATAATATGTTACTTTGTATTAAAATGTAGGGACAACTAGTAACATTGGTTTTCTGTATGGATGCCACTCGAATGGAATGAGTTGAATATACGTGTATGTGTGTTTGTGATAAACCTAAGTCTTTCACGTTAATATGTCAACAGTGCATTACAGAGCTAAATTTTGTTATATTTTATGTTTTTGTAATAATTTTATTGTTTATGTGTAATGAAGACTTTTTAAAATTTAAAACTATATTTTAAATGTGTTTATAGTAATTTCTTATTTCTTTCGATTATTCAGTTATTTAGTTGAAATATACTTTGGTAATGAGTCAGATTTATTTATACTGTGATTTAACAATAATTATTTTCAGACACTGATTTTGGGGATTTTTTTATTTATTTTTCGCAATAAAATTTGGTTCCTTGTTAATAAAATACTGTAACAAAGATTTGTTAAGTAAATATTATAATTTATGAAAGTTGTTACTTTTTTAATTGAAAAACTTAAAAGATCATAATTTACCTTTAAAATAGAAGAGTGGCAGCCATATAAATATAATGAGTTTCATATTGACAATTTTAATAAAATGCACTTTTTAGCAAAGAGACATCTAATGTTAGTAAACCTGTGTTTTTTCATTCTTTGTGTTTGTGTCAAGAATTTTTAAAAACTAAAAATTTCCTGTCATGTGAAAAGGAAATCTCATGTGTGCCATAATTTGGAATGAGTAAATTCTTTCAAAAAATTGATCCTGTATATTTTTATTAATTATAGGGTATCAGTGATTTGTAATTTATAAGCTCCATGCAATTTTAGTTTATAAAAAAGAGAAATAAAATGAAAATCTGCAGTTTTCATTGCGTACTATATTAAATAAAAATTGCTTTTATTAATAATGTGCTTTCTTTATAGAATTTTTAATGATGCATTTGCCTTATAGAACAAATGAGTATAGAATGCTTTGACATTAAAGTTCTACCTTTATTTAATATGTAGTCCAAAATTTAAATCTAGGTTCATAAATATGTTGTAGAAATTTGTCTTTATGACTTGAATAAGAGGTATAAGCAGAAAATCTGATTTTCTTGTAAATTTTGAAAGAAAACTTTTTAAAAGCCTTGTAACGTCCCCTTCTCTGAAGAACACTTGGTCACCTGCCCTAAAAGAAGGTAGAGAACCCTCTTCTTGCCTTGGCCAGAAGAGGGGAGCAGACTTCCCTTTGGTCGCAGGTGGGAGTAAGAAGAGATTGAGATGTTGAAGAGTAAAGAGTGGACAATGGTTTGTGTGCTCTACTGTAGTAATAAAGTTTTTCTAAAATGTAATCTGTACATAGTTGTATATATAAGTAAATATCTAGCCTAGAGCAGGTCTTGATTATTTAACGAAGTTACAACTATGGTACAGCCTCTTGTAAAAATATGTATTATATGAAAAAAACTGTTAACTATATAGATCAGCTTGCCTGTGTAAAATTTTACATTTTTCTTTGACAGATATTAATATATGAAAATTCTTACAATATATGTAATATAAAAAATATGTAAATTGAAATTATAATTTAAACTAACAATAGCCTTTTAATCCCCCCTCTCTATTCTAAAAATAGTAATGCCTTTCTGCACTTCAGAACACTGATGTCGTAGCTAATTCAAAACCTGAAATCAAAATTTTGAGAACTGAAAATTTCTCTTAATAAGCAACTTCAACCACAATCTCTTGATAAGCTTTCATGTTGGATAATTGCACACTTTAGCTTCTGCTTCTCTTTGTGTTAAGACAGTATTTTGCTCTGCTCTCTTCCTATCGCAACCGTATCAAAAATATAAATGCTCTTGTGGTAACTTGAAAGTCCATTAGCGTTGGAAAATTCAATAATTCGCTGAATAATGTAGGTAGAAAGCTAAAAAACTGGCACACGAAAACTGTGCTCTTTATAACAAATTTTTAACATGTTCGCCATCATCAACAATACCTGTAGTCGAGAGAAAATGTTGTGAACAGTACTGTACAGCATATCTGTAGGTATGGTGAGAAATTATCATCAGATGTTTTTCTTTAGGATCCCTAATGAGTCGTACGATCGTAGTAGACTCAGCAGGCGATCCTCACAAAATGATGCCTGCAAGAGATCTTTCAGATGTTAAGCAATGTGGGGTAGAGTGCCATCCTGCATAAGTCACCTTTCAACAGGTGTTTATTAAACAGACTAGGAATGATGCAATTCTGTAGCATCCCATGCACCTGTTACAGTGATAGTTTGAATAGCAGAACCACCCATTTCTTCGAAGAAAAAGGGTCTGATCAAGATTGAAATGATAAATCCACATCACACCATAGCGAACACCCAAAGGCGAAGATAGAAAAATGACAAAGTCTCCCACTACAGCTCATTTCATACACCAGGGGTTCCCAGACTTTTTCAGTTGATGGTGCGTGTACAAGTTTAGTATTTTGTCACAGCGCGCTACTCGTGTTCAAGGTTTGTGCTTTACAACCTGTTTACTACATAGTGTCATAGCAAATCACACTTCATTAAATATAACTGTATATTGATACTAGTGACCAAGCACAATCTAAGGCTCATATAAGTATATATTGAATTGATACACAAGAAAATTATATTATTAAAGAAAAATTCAATGGGACGGGTGAGCTTGCTGGTCTCCACAAAGTTTTTCAAAGCGAGGAATAAGACTTGACACTGCCGTTCTCATTTCTTGCTCCACATTCATCTTTGAACGATATTTGCTCTTTATTGGAGCAAGAGCTGAAAATCTGGTTTTGCATAAATATGATGTTGCAAAACGAATGAGAATCCTTAAAGCTTTTGGACTTAAGAGTTGGATATTCATTTGTGATTATTATGTAAAACTCCACCAAATCGGAACATGTGAATTTCGCAAGAGAGTTTAATGAGACTCTCTTCTTGTGGAGCTTGAGCATGGAATGAATTTTGGACCACAAATATTTCTCGATATTTCCTCAAAGTAATTTGCAAACCATTCAGTGAGCTTCGAAAAGGTGTTCCATTAAAGGACATGCCAGTATTTGAAAGACAGTGAGCTCATTAGAGGATGTGTATTTATGCAATTCGAGGAAACAATCTTGACCACTGTCCTCATAAATTTTTCTTTTCTACAACTGCAGTTTTCTTCTAAATGTCACAATCTTCTTCAATAGTTTCAAGATGTGCATATTATTGGGTTGATGAGGCAGATTCAAGGTATTCACTTTGTCAAATATATCACAGAAATATGCCAGTTTTAGTAAAAAATCTGGTTAGTAAAGTCAAAGTATTTGGTGTTTGCATGTCCTTCTTGCATAAAAGTGTGAATTTCTTGATGTAGCTCGAATGTGCGGGATAAGACATTTCCATCGTGAACTGTAATATAGCAGGGGCTGTGTGTTCAGCTCCCGTGCCCATGCAAGGTTTTTTTAATAGTTTGTCTTTCAGCGGCCTATTTTTTATGTAGTTTACTACGTCTATGATACTTTCCAATACCAAATTCAATTCACAGCTCTTCAACTTCGATGTAAGTGCTTCCTATTGGATGATTCAGTGGGTCCACATAGCATGAGGTGCTTTACTGAGAATAAGAGCTTGCAATGCTCCGTACTTGCGAGATATTGATCGAGGCCATCAGTACAGACACCGATATATATGTCTCATAAAGGAATGAAAAGATAAATTACCTGCGTAATAAAAAACAAATTCGATACTACGGAAGGCAGAATAGAAAAAGTTTCTGCGATGGAACAACAAACTGAAGAAAGAGTTTCTACCGTCTAACAACAAATTGAAGACGGGGTTTCGTCTGCCGTTAAAGAAGTTGACACTCTAAAGAAATTGATAGCGACGGCAGGGAGCAATTATAATGGTTTTAAATTTTTACCCATGCCTGCTCGTCCCTACCTATTGGATGATTCAGTGGGTTATCCACATATGTTCCCGAAAACCAAAGGCTAGATTTCGAAGCTTCATCTAGCGCTTTGGAAAGAAGTGTTTAAAAGATTACAGCAGGCTCCAATTAAAATCCCGACTACAGAAGGCCACGAAACACTCCTTGAGCTCGCAACGGCTGTTGAAAGGCTGTTTCATCTCGTCTTTTCGGAGTTCCCGGTAGAAAGAAGCGTTCCTGCAGTACTTCATCGATGGCATCCAGGATCGTCAAATACAGAAAGCTTTGCGAATGGCGGGTGTCAAAGATTTCAAAAGCGCTGTAGTGTAGGCCAGCAAGCAACTCGTAGCGACCGCCACCCAGTCAGAGCTGCGCAAGCCCAAGAAGCAGTGAATCCAGTGATGGCTCGTTTAAATGATTTAACCAGACAAGTCAGTGCTTTGATACGGAATAAGACTGACACTAAAGTGCTGAAACCGCGGCGCTGAGGGCCACGTAACGAAATAACTGCAGAACACCCCAGCGTACGGAAAATAAGACAGACCATTCAAACAGACACGTCAGTGCCTGGAGACAGAACAGGAGTGCAAGAAACTATCTCTAAATCCTCTCAAAATTGATAAATGGATTGCGGTGGTGAAGGCCACGTATGGAGAAAATACAGAACACCCCAAGGGAATGAAAATAAAATCATTTTCTAGCAATGACGCAGGAAACAAATTAGTGTCCAACTCGGGGAGCAGAGTTTGAACGGTGATGAAAAACTCAAGATTTCTGTAGTGAGTGGCAACAATAATTAACTCCTCAATGGGCATATCGATGAAGTTTCTTGCAATGTGACCATCGACACAGGAGCCAATGTTACAATCGTTCGGAAAGATTTTAAAGATAAAGATAAAAATAAAGTTTAAGATAAACTCATTTGGACGGCCATCTTGCGTCAAACTCATTGAATTTAAAGATAAAGTTTAAGATAAACTCATTTGGACGCCATCTTGCGTTAGTGATAAAACCGCAGTTGATGGGACACATTTGGAAGTGCCGCTTACCATCATACGGCATATGTGGCGGATATTACAAATCCTTACATATTCGAATTGGACTTTCTAAGCAAATACAATTTTTTCTAGGACTTCAAAAGCAACAAACAGCTTTCAGCATCTGAGGACATCATCAGAAGGGATCCTCACCTGGAAACGCAAACGCGTTCTCTCGAAGACCCTGCTCAGAAGTCTGCCGATACCATGCTACTGTCGAAGAGAAACACAAGCTGCTGAGTCCGGTTGAACGGCAAATTACAACATCAGCATCGGCTGATCGAGACCCATTGAGTGATGATGAAGTCAGGAAATCCAACTAGTTTAGAACTGTGTTAGCTTCGGCTAAATCTCTTTAGTTAATCATTAGTTAGACCTTATTCCTTACATTTTAAGTCCAAGGGGAGGCTTTGAGAAAGAGGACGACTGTTAAATCTTTATTTTGAGCAAATAAATGGTAATTACTTCTTGAGGTTAGGTTTCTGTTATTGTACTTTAGCGATTATTCGCATACCAATTCACTAGGTTTCTCGGCATTACATTTAACAGGATAAAAGTGAGGAACTCTGTAACTTTGCAGAGAGTTAGTTCAAAAGCGCTTCTACTGGAATAACGCATAGGATAACAGGAAAAGTGGTGCCAAACGTGCGATGCCTATGCGATACTTATGAAATCCAGGTTAATTCAAAACAATTTCTTTGAGATTCATAAATGTGAAACAAACTGACACTGAAATAATTAAATTCATATAAATTTGTTTTATTTTATTATTATTTAGTTTCTTTTGAAAAGGATCTATTGAAAACTTTCATTTTAAAAAAATGTAACCAGTGACTATTTTTTAGGTAATTATCTGCTTTTAATTTCAATTAATGGAACTTGGAGATGCACTAAGCTGAACAATCATCTAAATCAACCTTCCCTTAATTAGCTGTCACTTTTGACATGTCGCTTTTCACTCGACTTTTAATGCTAATGTAGATATATAATAGAACCAAATTAGCAATCAGATACTAAACAAATATAAACACATCTTAATCCCGCTTTTTCCCATATATTTTCCTTTTCTTCCTAGCGCCTACTCCTCACATGATATTTACTTCCGTTGGCATAATGAAATGTCGCCATATCCTTAAAAGAAGCCAAGTTGGCACAACCAAGGCTGGTCTCCGAACAATAACCGCATTATTTTTATCC